TGTATAAAAACAATATTAATTGTGCCGCAAAACCCTGCAAACTAAAGATTTTAAAAACATAACGCGCCCCTTTTTTTGTACTAAACTCCAATAAATTTCATACAAAAAGAGTCTTTTTCGTTTGTTTTTACGCAAAAACAGGCTTTCAAAAAGCTCAAGGTGACCACAGTACAGACAAACGATAAAGAGTGGCGCTGTTGTCGCATTTAGCTCGGTCTCGGTGGACGCCAGCGGCTCAGGTTTCGACGGCGAGTTTCCCAACTGAGTGTTCCAGTAACGTTGGTTGTATCCATTTATTAAATCATTATCGTAATTAACCTATTTCTTTCCCTTCCCCACACCACGAACGGGGTCCTCCATCATCTCCGCCGACACACAAGGGGTCCGCGAAACATCAAGGGTTGAGAACTACAGCCTTAACAAAACCACGTCACTTCCAGCCACTTTACTCTCTCTGTCTAAATAAAACTAGTCCTTATCTAACAGGGCCACAGGCGGCTAACTGCTACACTCATCGGCGTCTTTTGTTTTGATGACAAACGCTTCGTGAATTCCCCAGTTGTGATCTTTCCGCTGTGCCGTCCCAGGATGGTTGAGTTCGACAAAGGGGAGCACGGGCATCGATCGCAATGCACTGCCAAATGCCCAGACAGTGTTTGTTTGATAGCTGCCGCGTGTTCTCTCGCACGGCATATTTACGCAGAGGCCTGTTTGCTCCTCTGCACGTGTGTGCCTACTTCAAGGTGTAGGGAGCGTGTTTTTTTTTTTTTTTTGCAAACAAATTTACATATATTTTAACATTTATGGAAAACAAAATAATTTTAGAGCACCTACAGAAAAAGTAGGCACCGAAAATAAATTCGGGTGTGCGCTTTTAAAGTTTAACTAATATTAACTTGAAGGGAAACACATTGCTAAGTTTATATATTGTAGATATTATATGTTCATAGTAATCGCATTTTCAATTCAAAAGCACAAAACTTCACGTAATCCAGATTAGGGACTGTATTTCTATCAATGTCCTATGTTACTGCGCTTCGTCTCCCACATTTGCGCTGCTGGTTGCTTTATTTTATGCGCTGAATGTCTGCGATAGGTTTACCCATTAAATGAAGCGGAAAAATAATAAAAAAAAAACTTCGATATAATATGGAAACTTGGCTCGTAGTAGGCCCAAACCTATTAAAATTGTGTTAAAGCCGCGGCATGTATTACTTACTTTGTGTAAGTAATACATGCAAAACTTGCACCGCGTGTTGGAGGGCCTTCGGCCCTCCAACACGCGGTGCAAGATTTGCACAAAAATGTCTACTTTTTGCTGTAATCTTTATTCCTTTACGCCAGGGCTGCACAACTCAAAACTGACGCGGGCCAAAAAAATGCTTATTGGGAACTACGCAGGTTTTAATAACTGGCAGACAGGTTTTACAAATCTGGCATCATCGCACTGGTTGCCGTCTTGAGCATATCTAACAGCGTCATGTCCACGAGTGCCCGCGAGCCGGATGCGGCCCGCATGTTGTGCACCCCTGGTTTAAAGGCCGCTGTACAAACGGGACGTTCTGCAGGGAAGAACCTTCTCTCCCGAAGCTGGGGAACGGGGACGGAAAGGGCCAGCGTTCGATGGAAAGAGCGTCTAGAGAATGGGATTAGCCTCGGGGCGAGCCATCCTCTCGAGGGGAGTGGGGACGAAACAAAGCTGCCGTGGGGGTTCCGGCTACCAGGTGGAAGAAAGATAAGCTTCTCAAACGGCGACCTCGGATGCGAGAACGGGCACGTCACAGAATTTGCAAATAGCTGCTTGGTTATAGTAGGTTACAAGTCAAGAAGGTAGCGGCAAATGCCCCTCAAAGGGAATCATATATCCCTCCGCCACCTCCCATCGTTTCCGTGACGTCGCCGGCAACGCGCGAGGAGGGTCTTGCCTTTCTGTACATATTTGCTTTATCTTTCGACTTTGACTTAGCATTGTGGAAGCCACGAGAGGAAGATTAGAGTTTTCCCCCTCCAATGGAAACAAATACGACTTTCAAGGATTAGGTTCCCCCTCCGATGGATACAAAGGCTGCTTTCAGGGGCTCGGTTCCCCCTCTGATGAATACAAAGGTCGTTTTCTTAAAAATGGGATCGGAGACAAGTTGGCATCACTCTGTAGCCAACCATTGAAGCGGAACAGAGAGCGTTTCCAGTGAACTATTCTTTCTAGAAAGTAAACATTTGGCAGAAATCTGCCTGGTTGGGTAAGAACAATTAGAAGAGGAGGAAGGAACGCCAACCTTCCTCCTCTTCTAACTATTCTTTCTACTGCGGAGGGATTTGAAACCGGCGCATCACGTTTGTGGGAGGAGCTTCTCCTACCTTCTTAACTTGTAACCGACTATAGCTGGACGACCCAGTGCGCTCTACTGGCTCTAGATTCTAGAAGGTGACTCGGATGAAGAAAACTCGTTTTGCTCCAAAACTCTAAAAGCATTCTGGAACGTGAACTCTTGCCACAAATAAAAATAACACATGCATGAAAGACTACGAAGGCACCTAAGCTATCTTCAATGATGTGAGAATGCGTGAGCATTACAGGCAGGGTTATGTTGGCGCAACTTGCAATAAAGAAAGAAAAAAAAAGTTATGCGCGCTAGTTGCACGATAAAGAGGGCCTAGCTTCGAAACCAGGCAATGGGTGGTTTTTTCCTGTGTTCTTTTTTATTTCGTTTATTTCTTTTTTTGTTCTATCACGTGACAAGAAAAATCACATGAACAGAAATGTTTTTTCGGCCACGTCGAGAGATTTTTTTTCTTATTTCTCCTTTTCTTCTGTCTTTTTTTCCCCTTTTTTTTTCGGTTTACGCTCCCTTTCGCAAAACTCTTTGCACCTATTTTGCATTACTTTGGTGTTAGCCAAATCATTTTATTTATGGCAGGGAATTCTGCCGTACGCAGCTTATGTTACTATTACCAACCCTATACTTCGTTTCACCTTGTCTGCGAGCGAAGCCAAAGCTAGAAGCGCGAGACCAGCGCTTTTTGCGTTTCTCCCCAGCTCGCGCGCTCGAGCAAAGCCTGAACGCACGGAGCTTCCGTGCTCGCGCTTCCAGCTTTGCCTTCGCTCGCACATAAGGTGAAACGAAGTATAGCTTGCAATTCGCATAGAGAATTTCGTCCGGCAACCAGTTTGGGAATGACGAGGCCAAACTTGTGTTATAATTTTTTGAGGTATAAGCATAATTTCGGCCTCATTATCCGTCGGTCTTTATGATTGGCTCTTCAATTATCTTTTGGGAAGGTAGACGACAGGCATTTTTAGAGAGAACGTGTGTCGACCAGAGTGAACATTGCTGAAGCGCCTCCAGTGCGATTTTGGCCGTAAATAATTGGAGGCCCCGGGCGAACTTACCCATTGTAGAAAAGTATCTACCTTTCTGGTTTCATAGAGAGCTATATGAAAGCCAGAAGGGACGATTCCTAGCCGAGTCAAACTACCGGCTTGCAAACGCAATCGTGTTGATAATACCGCAAAGGAGTTTGTATGACGCTCTCTGACGGCGTGCAGAGGGTAAAGGCACGGAGGTAATATATGCTTTTGCCTAGTCACCTCGCGAAGGGTTGGGTATTGGCTGCAGAGATCTATTTCGCTTTGTTTTATTACCGGGATTATATCTTGCTTTCTGTGTTCCTAATTTCACAGACAGAACGAAATCGCTTTTCTCGTGTGGCGTCACGGCATGGAGACAGAAATCAATCAGAGTACCGAAATTCAACGCTTGTGCTCGTTCTATAGCGCTTCGAAAAACCGTGCGATCACGGCTGTGCAACGTCAACATTGCATAAACTGCCGTTACTTGCACTCGTATTGCATCGTGAGGGAACGACTATGACTGGGTAAACAGGAATAGGGAGAATGGGTGCGTGTGATTTGTTGAAGTTCGAATCAACAAATCGAGCTTCAACGAATGCGATAGTATTGCATTCACTCAACCAGCTATATGAGTTTTCAGATCCTTCCAAGTATGCGATTCGTGTTCTGCCAGTGGTACCTCAGCTAAATTAAAAAGCAAAATCCACGTTGAAAAAAAAAAAAAAAAAAAGTTTACGGCGATTCGAGCCGTTCCCGCGCTGAATCGTGTTTCACGTAAGCGTAATCCTTGGGTTCGATGCACGACGAGGGATCTTCAATCGTAAAAAATATTTTGATTACGATTATTTGCAGCGCTAAAAATTTGAAAGCCAAGCAGTGAAGACAACGGTGTTTTTATAAATATTATATACATTTTATTTTACACTGTTTAAATACGATGCCGTCGTTATGTTCTTGAATTATTGGCTAGCTTGTGGCGGACAGGGAGGTCTTGCAGGACCATATGATAGGACCTACACTAAACCTGCCGCTCTTCGAGAAATGTCAGTTCAATGCACACAAGCTTGTTCAAGGCGGACGGAGCGTTGCGCATCCGGCAAAACACATTCGGTCGCTGCCCGCGGCGGTTTTTTTTTCTTTTTGTCTTTTTTTTTCGAGCAGCGAAATAATTTTTAGTCAAGCAACAGGCCCCCTCTTCGGCGGGTTAAGCCAGATTAACGGAGGCGTCTCCTAATCCATTTTCCGTGTTGGCCCCTCGGGGGAGGGCGGTAAACAGGTGGCCGAGGGCGGTGAAGGGAGAAAAGGAGGGCAGGAGAGGAGGAAACGCAAAAGATGTGGAAAGCGCGAACTGCACGTCGGCCTTTATTAAGCACTGGAACCAGGGACGGATCCAAAAAAGGAGGGAGGGAGGCGGTCGCCCCCCCCCCCCCCCCTTCAAAACAAAGTCGACCCTCTCTCCCTCTCAAAGACGAGGGTTCAAAGAGGGTAGGTCGCACCCTAGCGTCTCCGTCGAATGGGAGAATAGTATCCTTACTAATCCCCCCGCCCCCCCCCCTAAAAAAAAAAAACAAAAAAAAAAAAACGGAGTTCTGGATTTGCCTTTGACTGGAACAAAACTGGTAAAAAAATTATAAAGCACACAAACAAGTTGCATAGGTGAAACACTTTTATTTAAAATTTCAACGCTTGTGGTCAAACACTAGCAAAAGTATGAAATTTATAAGATTTTTTCGCATAAGGGCATAGGTGCAGTTCTCGTAAAAGTACTTGACAAATACCTCGTGCCCACTGATAAGCGAATCATGCGCTGCCCTCTTCAATATTTCCTCCGATGAAATCTGGATTTCTTTTGGTAGTAAGAAATTTTAACTAAATGGCACTTCATCCCAGAAAACGTGAATCCTACCCGGGAAAAGCATACTATGTGCAATCTATAAAAAGACAGATCCTCTGCAAGGTCCTTCGCAAAGTTGCGTCCTCACATAAAACAGCTTGATTTTTGAAGGGACACTAAACGTTTTTTTTTCTACAAACATATATATAATTTTTTTTTTAAATTTTTTAGGTGACACTGGCGGTTGCCCTATTTTTGGGTATCGCTTTTTACACGCAACGTGTGATTGGATCCGAGTCGTCGCCGAGTGCTGATGCAGTAGTCGTGTCCAATGAATGGTCAAAGCGCATGTCCAAAATATGGCGACCTCGGACAATCCACGAAGACACTACTGGGGCGAGTACTTTTCAAAACGTATTGCTGCATTGCTAGAACGAAATTTATTCAGATCAGCAATTCTCAGCAGCCAAATCAACAATACTGCTTGACTGTCCCTTCAAAAATAAACAAGCAAAACACAAACACGCACAACGGAAGCTTACAAACTTTGCCACCATGGACGCGAACAAGGTTTCAGTCACTTCCATGGCGGCGGAGCTTGCCTTGGGAACTCGTTGCGAAGGCTACACGGACGTGCTTTATTGTAAATAACATTCCAATCGTAACAAAGTAATAACAAGTGTATAAGATAACAAATGCCCTCCCGTTTTCCTGTGACTAGTTCGTGCACCTGTGCAGAATATCATTAGTGGTGGTATATATTATACACAAAAGTTAAGATTTTGGAAGGACAGGCACGACTTCAGCCTTGGAAAAAGCATTGCAGAACATGTAACTTGTGACACTTCAACAAACTTTTAGCATCAAATTCTCGCAAGCACAAGAATCTGACAAGGTTCACACGCGATAAAAGAATGCCCTTTACCCCTATGGCAAGAAAACTGAATTACAATAACTGTAATGTCAGGATATTCAAGTTATGTTTTTTAAAGGAGAGACTGGCTAGAAAAAGACGCTGCTACCTCACAGAGACGAGGTTGCATTACAAAAAGGTATACAAGGTTTCTTTGTTTAGAAAAAAAAAAAAATATGTGCTGCTACTGTCGAGGATATGCAACACGAGGGTGCCAGGAGATTATTACGAGCCAGACACTACGCTAACAATGTCTAAAATGATCGATAAGGACTGCTTTCTTAATTTTAAGGCAATTATACCCTGTACTTTCATTCAAAATTGCGTGGTGCCATAAAAGACTCAGACAGTGCCAGCAATAGAGCTTCATCAAATTCATGTATACAAAGACAATACTTTAAAGCAAAGTGAGGAAGCCATACATTACATGTACTTTTCCCAAAATCGTCCAGCAATACAATTTTGACAGATTAGAGAGGACCTAAACCACACCTCTTTGGCTGATCATGTAGGTTCTTGCATGGTAGTGTATACCCATGTCCCCGGCCTCACCAATTCATATCAGGAAATAAAAAAATTAAAGTTGCACGCAGTTTAGCAAAGTTGCACGGGAAACGGGCCAAAAAAGATAATATTGTCACGAGCATTCACGCCACAAGGTGTGCACGTAAGATCCTCAATTATGACAAGAACTCAAGCTAAAACAAATTTACTTACGTACAGGATTGTACTATACAACACATTTTCAAGGCATTGGCATAAACGCGTGAAAATCCAGTGAACTTGGGGAATATGCTACACAGTAAAATCAAACATTTATTTTTAGGTAGAGCAGCAAATTTGCAAAAACAGAATTGGGATAAGCAGGGAGTTTTCAGTTTCTAAACAGAAATACAGATGTGCTTTCAACTCCACGAGTTTTCATTATTATTTACAGACAAACGTTCAGACTATGTTTCCAGGGCTGAGTAGGTTCCACGCAATAATGCAGACCTTCCTATAACTGCATAGGCATATTCAGGCATCTAACACTTTTTAAGCTTTGGCCCTGGTAAGGAGCACACTTCAGATATGAAAAAATATCTGTTCCAAGCAAAACTGGCCATGGGTAGGTAATGTCGGGCTTTACATAGAATGACAAACCCAAAAACTTGCTGAACATAAATGTCAGGCAAACCTGCCCAGTGACAAACACCATGCTTGAGATGCCTCACCAAGAATTTGACAAACATCCCTCTTTGGACAAGGACTAGAACATGCCCTTGCATAGCAAGTCATAAACCATCCTTGAATAAGCTTTAGAAGAAATTTCGGCAATCTCGAGGTAATTTCACTTCTTTACCTGCCTTAATTATCTGGAGATTACCATAGGTTTTATTCTGAAGGTGCCTGCATACAGCTTCATTAGATCTGTCATTACCCCTGACCAAGTGTATGTGGAAGGGCTCTGTCAAATTTGCTTGCTCCAAAGGTCCTAAACGAACCTCCATTTTAAAGAAGGTCATAGACAAACTGAAAACACTTTTCACCCAAACTTGCCATTGATTTTGCAGACAGACCCTTGAATTTCTGAAGACAAAACGTCCAAATCACGACTCACAAACAAGCATGGCCTAGCTAAAATTGCACAAATAATTTGTTTTTTTGAAATGTGTTTATCAGCTATATCATTAACGCTAACCCCAAGGCAAGTTTATGAAGCATAATTCAGAGATCTGCACCTGTTTATGCTTTCAAACAATAACCAACTCTTAGCTATATACCTGAAAAAAAAATGTTCACCAAGTTCTTACAAAAGGAAACAATTTATCTGTCCTTGGCCACCATGACTATCCTTGAAACCTTTCTGTAGAAGTTTTAAAAAATATGCCTTAGATAAATCTTTCCTTGCAAGGCTTCTGCAGAAACCCTGTCACAAGCTGTGAGAGAAAGGCAATTTCTGAAGATGTAGAACAACATAGTTCAAGATTTAATACTGAGCACGTCTGTGGATGATATGTGCCCATGTAAACTTTTCCTGCACTACTCAGGGTTTAACTCCTTGCACAAGTCCCTTTGGAAAAATAGGTCTCTTTTGGAGGCTGACAAACTGCATCAGGGTACAACTGTATCAGGAAAACTGTACAGGAAATGCTAGCACCAAAATACATAGAGAGATTTCACACCAGTTCAGTCCACACAAACATCCTAAAGTATTCTATACTAAGCTGTTCTTAACTCGGGCATGATCTACACTACACTTCATGTTTTTTCATGTACAGTCTTTATGAAACTTCTTGGCATAGTTGCGATACACAACTGCTAAAGTCCAAGATCAAGATTTCTTGTTGACACTCAGGCTTATTCATCAAGAAACATCCATAGGCTGCATTTGAAAATGAGAAGCAGTGATTCTTGATGTGTATGTTAAGTGGCCTTCCAATTTGTAATAGGTATCCTAAGAGTTAAAAGTATTGGCAACAGATCCCTTCCGTCAGCTCAAAATGTATCTGCTGCAAGACTTAAAATATGAAGGAAAAAAAAAATTGAGGGTATTTTCAACAATATATGTTCTTCTTTAGCTTGAACTAAATGAACACAAATTCAGGAAATAAACTTCCCAAGTACATAAAAAAAAAAATCTTTTGTATGATTTGGAATAAAAAAAGATGTATTTGTTTGGTCCATTAAAATTTCACCACTCCACCTAGCAGAACTTTTCAATCCTGACACAGAACGAGAAAGTGTGAGCCCCCAAAAGATACGGCTCTCGAAAGAGTAATAGGTCTGAAACTAGAAATATGAGGGGTCACCAAAATGGCTGCTAACATTTCGTGAAAACGCTGTAATTCACCTCAGGAAGGTTCGATTCTGAGCCCTTAGAGGGCTCCTATAAGCCGAGGAGGCCCTGCCTTTCTGCCAGGAGCACAATATCGCTTACCTAAACCTCAGCAGCCATCTTGAAGCACCCACAATGTTCCCCTTGTGGCTTGCGCTTGGCCTCTATAGCTCACATAAATTTTCCAGTCCACACTGCATCCGTGCAATCCCACAAGAACGAAGAAACAAACACATTTCTTTGACTCCCCCAAAAAGTCAAACTTTTTCGGTGAAGTCTTCAAAACTAACTCTTCGCTTCTTCGCATTTAATGTGCCAGGAAATCTACTCTAAAATGACAGAACAGAGGCTGCTCAGGTGCAAGGCAACGCTCCCAACATCAAAATGTAGGGATCAAGACTCCGAACAAAAAAGAGTGTCGAAGCATATGGAGGCAGACAATGTGCAACGAACACGTCTGGCTTTGGCAGCGTTCTCGGTGCGCGTCAACCACTCGTGCTGTTGCTCTCTCCGTTGTGGTTTGGTGGGCGGGTTGCCAGCCATGCGTCGTAAATGGCCACCTCTTTGCGTTCCTTCTCGAAGTTGCGCGCTTCAAAGAGCAGACGGTTGCGGATTATCCGCTGCACCAGGTCGTGCGTCGTGAGGCTGTTGCCGCTGTCCAGTGTCTTGAACTTGCCCAGGCGTTTGGGCTCCTTGAGGAAATGACAACCGGACGAACAGACCATTGACTCTCAAGTTCGAGACTGATGTGTATTTCTGTATTTCGTAGCACACGGTACCCTCCCTCTCACAGAACTCCACTGCTATGACAGATCGAGAAAAAAATCGGCAGCTGTATTTTAATCTGTCAACCGAATTGTCACATGCAGAACTCTAGTGTATGAGAAACGGTGGGTTTTCGTGAGGTTTCTTCTTATTGGGACACTCCAATTAATTACGTGACACCGTCACGCGACTTCAAGCTATGCAGATGTTTAAATCACATGGCACGGCGTCAGATGACACTGTGATGTTTCGTAATGACATCACGGGATGTAGCCCCGGTACATTACACTACGACTTGACATCCAATATTACTAGATCCAGTAATGTTGACACCGTGGCCTCATGCGACTTTGCAACTATACGCCCCAACTAATGTGACAAAGTGACATCAGGTCACGTAATCTGCCATGCACAAACATAAAATACGAGCTAGCTTTTGTCAGAATGCTGTTCTGCATCAAAAACATATTTGTTCTAAATCTTTCTCAGATTCAGCTTACCAACAAGAAAATATGATAGAGGGCGTGGATGCATGACCCGGTTCTTTTTCACGATATCACCCACGACATGAGATCACACTGCACTTGTTCTGTCAACGGGCACAGAGAAGGTGCAAACTCACTGCGTAGGGGTCACTCCCATCCACGTCCTGCATGATGGGTGTCATTCCGTGGCACACAATATGCACCTGAAAGACATGAAACATTGGGGCACACCGAACAAGGTGGAAAGTGCCCCTCAGTACAATGCATCAGAATGCAATATATGTTCTGCCTTCAGCACAAGCTTTATGCCTTTGATAACACTTTTGAGCAAGCGCAGCCAAAAGCCCGGCGGAATTCAACGAGCACATACTGGAGGTGGAGCTTCTATTGCATTCATAATCTGTCACCAACCACAGTTGAACCTCGATTTAAAGAAGTCACCGAGACCTGAAAATTAATTACAGTTAAATCCACAATAGCGCCGCTCGCTCGTTCACGCTGGACTCCCCACTCAACACTTTGCCAAGAATCCCGTAGAGCTCTTTGAAGTGCGAGGGCCGGCCCAGACTTGCCTTGAACCCGTCAACACCGAGCAAATGCGCGTAACCGTGCACCTTCTGTCGGACCGCTTCCCCGCTGCGCGGAATGTTTCTGGCTCGCATATCGTTAAACCGGAATAAGAAGGCTTCTTCTAGCTTCTCAAGCAGGGTGGTCTTCAGTCGTTCTTTCTTGGAAGTGTTCCCAGATGAAGTTGCAAGGACGATGGCGTCCTTCGCCCTCAAGATGGTTGAAAGCGTGCTTGCCAGGATACCGTGTTCTGTGGACACGTCGCAATTCTTTAGTCCACTCACGATGGCACGAATTAAGTTTGCCTTTTCTTCGAGGGACACTTTTTTTTTTCTTCGGAGGGTCTGTCCTTCGGCGACAAGGAATGCACGGAGCAAGGCAAAAAAAAAAAAAACGAATAACGTGCCTGAAGGGCAAAAACACGCAAAACCAGAGATTAGGGCAACGAGTGGAGCAGGTGGAAACCAGTCATGGCAAAAGCGGCGGAGGAGATGGGGCTTTAGCAGGAGAGCATCAATGCTGCCATCTGTCGCATGCGGCATCAAGCAATCGCCGCCGCTGTTGCCATCTGGTACAACTAATCCAAAGCCAGGAAGGAAATGCGGTCTGTCGTTCCGTGCAGTTTTATTTCGTAGTTTTGTGAGAACCAGAATGAAGATGCCTCCACTTCCTCGCTTGTACTGCTCTTACGCCGGCGGCACGCCTCCAGACTTTCTAGACGCCATAAATTGGAATAAAAACAAATCTCCTTTAGTGTATATTTGCCTACGGAGTGCGTTGTTAAATCGGGTCTGGCGGCCAGGTTTGTTTTGCTATTTCGAGTTTTTAAAAGCATTAAGCCTATAGGCAGCTGCGGGGGATCCGAATTTGTTCATTAAACCGGGACATTCGTAAAATTGGGTTTCGTAAAATCAAGTTTTAACTGCAGAGCTCATACAGTGCAACCCAAATATATAAGAGTACCACTTATAACTTGCAAATGTATAGCATAGCACCACACTCCTGTGTAAAGCTAATGATGGCAGTCCTAATGACACTTTAACACTGTTAAAAACTGCTAGTGGTCCCGTACGTAGCATTTTATTGTAGTACAAAATTTCTCGCATCACTTGTATAAACCGGAGGTGTTATGCAAGTTTCACGGCCAACCAAGTGCCGTAAATGTCGCAAGTACTAGCGGTGCGGTGCCGACACGACGCGACGTGGGCATGCTGGTAAAAAAAAATGTAACTTGTATGGCTAGTAGAAGCAGAAGGTATAGACCCCAACAGTGCATAACTGCTTGAGTACAAAAATTTTGCAAGCACCATATGCAACTTTTATTTCATTCAATCGGCACGGTCCATTCATTTGCGTATTTCAACCACTTGCTCTCCGAGACCACGAAGAGACAATGCGAACGTGTATCTTTCCATACACGGTGGCCTGTGTGCTGTGCTCGCTGGTGGAACTCACCCTGAAGTGGTCCATGAGGTCCGCTGACACCGAATAGGGAGCTCCGATCACCACTTCGTTCACATACTAAAAACAAATGAACAATCATAAAGGACACATCGATAACAGCTCCTGCAATTGGCAGGCTTACGCTTTACAACAGGGCCAGTTTTGTTTTCAAGGAGACTGTGCGAAGAGTGTTAGTTTCTGGATGGTACACGTCACAGTAACGTCTAAAAAGTGAGACCTGCATAAAGCCTGAGCGTTTCATCAATAAAGTACTAACATAATCAAAAACCCGAACAGGAATATATAACCAATCTCTATTCACTAAAAAGTCATACTGTAATCGAGGAAATAGCCAGTCAACATGAACGTGCATGAACGAATGCTGCATATAAATGGAGCAAGAAAAAGAAAGAGCGAGGGACTACTGGATGAAAAAAAACTGTGCATTGGCACATGCTAACAGCAACAAAAAACATAATTCTTTTTTAGACACTATTCCTACGCTTCATTCTTGACACGCTATAACCTCATAGAGGGAATTGTTAAGTTTGTTAAGCGAGAAATTCCCGCCACGTCTAACGAAATGAAGACATTCCTCTTTTGTCTGTAAAGCACTATAGCTATGGGTCCAAATATTGATTGTGTATTGCTATGAAATATAATAAACCGAAATAAAAAAAATGAATAAATGAATGAAACTGGACTTACCTTACAGGCCAAGACACTGAGAACGCGTTCGTGGAGGTTCATGATAGGGTAGTTGTAACCCTTGTACCGGTTCACCACCTGACACAAGAAAACACCTATGTTTATCACAGCATTCAATCAATCAATCATGGCCACCACCTAGAAAAATCTACCTTATTTTAGTTCCTCCAATGAAGCTGAAAGCATCTATGGTAAACCGACTCCGATAAAATATTTCTTCTCCGTTTGAGTCATTACCAATACAAAATACGGTAGTCACTCGTAGATTGGTTATGTGGAAGGTTGGCCGTGCAAAAATTACAACTCTTCAAATGCCCTACCTTTCATAATAAGGGCATTTATGTCTATCCTGCACTTTGCTAGCTACGTTCACCAAGTTAACGAGACATAGGATAGGAAAGCTCTCCTGCATACTGTGGTAAAGACAGAGAGAACGCTTGATTGGTTGATTATGATTGCAGATTGCAGATATGCCAAGTTGATCTAGATGTGCTCACCGGATCGGTGTGTAGACCAACAATGAGGTAATCCCCTTCCGCTTTGGCTTTCTCAAGGAAGTCCAGGTAGCCGACATCTCAATAACAACAAGGTCAAGGAACCGTCTAATCTGCAGAGACTGCTGATCGCCAACAATTTATGCTGACACAACAAATGCTTGGGCACAGACTAAGGTATTGGAAACAAATCTTCTATACTCGATTTACACAACCAAAGAGGAGGCTACATTTACAACCTGTCCGAAAGCTCATGTCACATTCAATTCAAGACAATGCTTACATAAATTCCTTTACAACATTAAATCTCATACAGTTCCTCTATCTATGCAAGTTATGATGACCTGCAATTGAGACTATTTGGTGCTAGTTAAACAATAAATTGAAATGTGTTAAAAAAAAAAAGTTATCAACCTGTATAGATTTAACTTGCATAGACCTAGCCTGCATAGACCACTAATGTGGTCTATGCAGGCTAGTTATACACCCAGATGAACACAATATAGCCGGCCAATACTCGTGACAAATTAGATAATGAACTAAAATATATAAATTTCCTTTTTAATTAGTGCAAATAAACATGATTTCAATCAGAAACTTCCTTAGTTTCATCTAAAACCACCCAAATCAGTAAATTTTTGGAAAATCTTTCGAGCACGTGGGAAGAGCTGAGGTGCACTAAAGTTACCATTCATGCAACAAGCACAAGGCTGGCAGTGTGGAAACGCGGATGATAAGATTATCATCTGCGTTCTTCATGCTCCGCACACAGCCAGTCAAAGTAAGTCAATTATGCTGTGCATCAAAGTTCCTCCCTAGCACTTGAAAAAATTTAGTTCCACCAGTGCACGTCGTGCCATTGTCGAGCGTCTCCTGGCACCATTTAACTCAAGATCTACAATAGAGAAGCGAGGAAAACGCAAGTTCTCAAGACGGGTAGCTAGGATCCAAAGGAAGTCATCTCAATGGACAGCAATGCCCAGTAAAGGATACGAAAGAGGTCAAACGCTCCAGCGACGTATACTATCTTGTCCGTGCTCTGAAAAGTAAATGTTCCCCAAAGTCAGTAGATAATCCCATTCTACAGATTACGTCCACAGGTACAATGTGTTAATCCCATTTTACCAAAGCGAGCCTAAACATTTTCCAAACAAACACCTCTATTCATTGATACATCAACCTTTTGTCACATGTATGATATGTTCTGCTACTCATTTAAGGTAAAATGAAATTACCAACTTTGTGCCACTTCACATGTCTTCACTTCCCCAAAGATAGCCCACCCCATGTTTCTCACCATTTACCTCTTCATTTCGGGTGGGCGTTCTAACAGGATATTACGCTACACCTTTCTAAATATAAAAAAACAAAAAAAAAAACTAAATTTCAGAATATTTTTTAACTTGATTTTTTTTTATTACCAGTTCGGTACAAATGCCCAATTTTTGCCCCCCCCCCCCCCCCCCCCCCCTTTATTTTTGAGATATAAAACCCAAGAACGAAGGACCCTACTTAAGGACCATTGACAAATAATACTCAAATTTACTAGGTATACATCAGTGTCCTCACAGTACAGCACCTCAAACACCTGCACCACTGTTAAAATCATACTTAAACTCTGCTTCACTACACCCACATCTTTGCTATAGGAGTCTTTACTAATGAGAGGTACTACCGCAACTTGTAATGCCAGAAGTCTAAAAAAAAAAAAAAAAACTAGTCTCAACAAAGGGCAAGCTTCAAGAACTAATATACTAGGTAATTTGAGAATCAAAAGAGCCAGATGTGTAAGTTACACAGACAGCTTTGGGTTTCCCAAGCACTGCTCAACTCTGCACTGTAAAGAACAAAGCAATAGACGGCGTGTTGTTATGAGACATTGTACCCCGTTGCAGGTAAAGAAAACCAGGACAAGATCCTCCCATAAAATCCTCCATTCTTTCCACTTTGGAAAGGCGAACAGTGGAGAGGAGGCGTGTACCTCCTTGCCTTCTGTTGCCCTCTCCAGCGTTCGCTCCGCAGTTCGAAGTGCAGAGAGAAAAGGCCTACCACAGCAGGCTTACGACAATTCAAACTCGGATCTTTCTCACTTGTGGTTAATTCAAACAAATTTAAAAAATATTGGTTGTCCTGTTATGTTTTTAAAAGTAGCTCAATTCGAACGGCGTTTTCATGCAATTCATACTTTTTGTTCTCACGGCCTTGGTGAGCACGCTTCTTGACGAGCACCGGTGCACTGCAGAGAAGTAACACCCGCGGAGCTTGCTTCCGCAGATGTTGCTCCTCTGCAGTGCACCGGCGTTCGGTTAGAAGCGAGCTCAACGGGGGCTAATAGTTCACAATAGACAACTTTTTTTGCTGGATGAACTAACTTAACTTTGTTTTGAGCTGTCATGTGCTGTCTAAACAGTCCACAACAGACATTTTTGAGGGATGAATAACCTGATCTCGTACATTTCATCAATGCTTCATGTGTGGCATACCTGCTCATGATTAGTAGGCCCGTGTAGAGGAAAACATCAAATATCTGCATTGTATGTGTAGCCATCCCTATTTCAAATTATAATTTTATCATGCATCATATTTAGATGAATTTTTTATAATTTAAACAAACTTTGTGGCTTCTTGAAGTTCGGAATAATGTGTCTACTGTATAACAAAGGTCAAATTAAATAAAAAAGGAAGTTCTGCACGCAACAAAAGTTCACCTTTGGTTCTTTGCCTTCGGCAAACTGGATGATCTTCTGCGTCGTCGGCAGAAACTGGGAGATGCCCGTCCAGGGGCTATGTGTAGTCGAGTCCTAAAAAGAAACAATAAACAAATATAGGAGGTCAAAAGATGGGACATTCACTTGTTCTACCATAAAAGGGAAAAGAAATCTGAAATAGCACTGACAATCTATACTGGGCCCGAAAGCACCATGGCTGTCATGCTTTTCCCACGGTGATGGACATACCCACGAACAACAAATGTCTGGGAGGGGTGGCAGGCAGGGTCACATGCATACTATTATGTCTCCACAAAACGATCAACCAATGTTTTAATTGCACATTTTCCAGAGTCAGTTCAGTCATGTCTAGTCATCTCATAATCGGCTGTTCTAGTCCTAACCATCGAGATGATGCAAATGGAGATTGTGGACCTAGTGCAATAATGTCATCATATTCCTAATATTTTCCGCTAAAGTATTCACAGATATAATGAAGTGGAACTCAGTCGTAAGTACTTTTATAACAAACACGTGCAGGCAAACCACAAAGTTCAACGTAAGACCTGCACTATGTAAATATAGTTTAAAAAAAAAGGTCCTACAAAAGTCTACTGCAGGTTAAGACAAGTAAATACTGGAGAGGGGTGAGCGGAGAGGAGAAAACCACAAATCATGGCAAGCAGAGAACTTTGCAACAGGTGCTGGTCCTACTTTTTTTAACCTGCAGCAAATTATGGTAGAACAAACACATTTAGGAAAGCTCTATAAGCTGTAAGAACTACGGTCTGAGCCATACCTAAAAAACGAGATTATTCACAATGAGATGAAAGTTAACACCCTTTCCCAAAATTCAATATTTGTTTACTCTCCCACGCTCAACTAAGAGTCGGTTTACGTTATATTTCAGATAGCAAAGGCCACATGAAAAAATATATGCAAGAAATTTTTTCTAAAAATACAAGCTGTTTGGAATGGAAATCAAGCTATCTCGGTAACCCAGATCTTTTCTAAAGCTATCTCCTGGCACGTAGGGAGGTCAGGGGTATTGGAGCGCAAGTCTGTTTCGATTCGGAAGCCGCACTATAAATGCGTATGGATGGCAACGAGCTGTCGGTCTCACATTTATCGTCGGAGATAGCAATATTTACAAGATTGCAGACCAGAAACATACACAACATGCTTAGAAACCCGTTCAAACATGCGCGTGGCAACAGAATGGCTGCCACGGAAGCCGAGAACAAACATTTAAAGGAAAAAAGAGTTGACATAAGAAGTAACTGATTCACAGTGACTTTGCTCCTAATGACCAAGGTGAAAGCAAAGACAACTATACCACTACGTAAGTTAGGGTTACACGACTAGCACAGAAGGAAAAGTTTGAGCAGACAGAGAATGACAGGGCAATTGAAAGCCAAACAGAAGCAGACATTACAGTGCAATCAGTATGACAGACAGGAGGTTACGGGAAAGCAGACATTTGCGACAAACTAAACAGGAAATGAGCTTCCAAAGGATTTCGAAGACGCAGAAAGATTGCTTGAAGAACGGTTGCAAGGAACAGCAAAGTGTGCACAGAACAACTTCAGTATACCAGTGTTGCCAAAATGGTGACATTACCTCCATTTAACAAGTGTTGGCAAGATGCTGCATTAGTTTTATCACCATAGAGTTTACTTATGTTGGTGTTTGCTTTAGTGCGAGATGCACCGAAACAGAAAGTCTTCGCTTCTAGAGTAAATTTTAATTTACACCACAAGCTTGTATTGAAACAACTACTCCATCACTTTTTAATGCTTTACCATAGATCCCGACCTCGACTTAGCATACTCCCACATCCTGTCAGGCAATCAATTTGCCCTCCAGCTTTGGCAGCACTGGGTTAACCCTCGTAACTTTGACCAGGTGCTGCAAGCTGCCATTTGATTCGGAAAGGCCGGCTGCCATACATCTGCTCCATAGACTACCCATTTAGCACATAGAGAAAGCGGATAGAGAGTCAACCACTGATTTCTATTGTAATAGGCTGGATCAGGGATCGGGAGCCCGTTGGTGGCACGACCAGTGGTCATTGCTTGACACCAGGCAATACATGCAAGTCAATGGGAGAAATACACAAAAGTAGGAATATTGAAGCTTGTACGCAATGACCGAAGGCGAGTATTTTATGGCCTGCTGTGATCATTATGTCAGGTGTTTGAAGATCGAATCGGCATTTGTCAAGCGTTCCAACGACAATCAAAATAAATTACTGTGCAGGTGTTGCTTGCTTCAGTTGCTAAAAAAATGACAGATTCAACAAATGAACAACATGCTCAGAGTACTGTGTAGAAGCACTTGAAACAATGTGTATGTCCCCAGTAAAGGCCTTCTAAATTATCGTCTGCTAGGCTCCAATGACTCCACATTGACTCTCGGCAACCTTTGTCTCACTGAACCGCATCACAGTTAACGCCCAGCAAGGTTGCAAAGCAACCTTCGACTCCTTAACCACAAAACATTTATTAAAAAAAAGATTTATATTCTAACGCTTTTGATATTTACGCCCGGAATATCAATTGTCATTCCCGGAAAACACGATAAAAGTTTCATCGTCGAGAACAACCCACTAAGGTTAGGAAGTGCAGTTTTCCCTGTTTTCTCCCATAGAATCCCACGCACTGGCTGGTGTCAAGCACCGGCGGTGTCGCCCAACCCCAGCGAGACATGCCTCGATCCGCAATTCAGCCCACTACAATAGAGATCAGTGGAGTTAAACAGAGAGCACAGAGGACCCACAGGGCGCAATGAAGTACCGACCACTACTTACACCGTTTTCGTTGACGGCGCCCCCGCCTAGCACGTCAAAACCAGACAACTGTTAGTTTTAAGAGAGTGGGAGTGGTCAGGATAAAGTCAGAAGGTTAAAAAAAAATGAGAGAAACAAGCAAGCAAGAACAAAGGGAAATACTAGGGAAATGTCTACCGCTTTAAAACGAAATCGGTCGGGCGGCAGAAATGGTCGGGCACGAGCCGGATTCGTCGACCGGGTAGCGACGTCAATGCGTAATGCCTGTGCAGATTTCGGTTATATCCCTAAGGTCATTGGCACAATGAGAATGACAGGGAGGTCTTTCATTTCAGCTGCCCCGCCTCCAACCAAAGGACAGTGAAAGACAGCAAGAGGGTGCTGGAGGATGGGCGTTCAAAAAAGATGCCCTGCTGTTTTTTTTTTCTTGTCAGCGACAATAGTTTGGTCCAAAACAAAATTTAAAAAAAAAAAAGAAGCTAGAAAATGTACTGGACTTGTACTTTGTAAGATGTTATCTAGCATTTTCACAAGACCAGCTGTTGTGATACTTCCGAAAACTTGTAGGTCCTCGGCAAATTATAATTGAGTAATGGTCCTGCTATACTCGGCTCCAGCTGGGGTCAAATGAGGCAACAGCAGAGAGTCAATCGGTAGAGGTTTCAGTTCATTCAATGTTTCCCCAATTTAATAGGGAGCGTAACGGGGGTTGCTTGGGACCTATCCTGCTATGTACTGGCTGCTTTGTAGACAAATTCCCTAAGAAATCTACCATTTAGGGAAATTCCCTAAAGATCCAATGTCATGCCTCTTACCCCTTGAGACCTACCCTGCTTTATACGAAACTCGTCTTCAAAATTCTGTGGCTCTTCTAGATTAAAAATTAAAACAGCGCAAGGACATGGATAAGAACGAGAAGGTAGACAAACAAGGTGCTGACTTACAACTGAAGTTTATTTGTGCTAATATCGAGTATAAATACTGCAACGTCAAAACAAACAAACCAAGAGAAAATACATGACATGGACGCCACACGCTCCTTAAGCCACCGTCATGCGCTGTTACTGTGCGTCTAAAAAGCAATATTCCTTATCGGATGAAGATAGCGAAGGAGCGCTGGGAGACAGTTTTCCCTCAATCTTCCAATTTCCCGATCTTCAATGATTTCTCGAGGGAGTTTATCTTTATTCTTTCTAGTCACTTCACACTTGTTGAAGACGGAAGTGCAACTACAGTCTCAGCAATGCAAGCCAAGATGACCTGACAAAACCCTCTAAACGTTCTACTTATGCTCTCGCAAGTGATCATTGAGGCAGCGCCCCGTTTGCCCGACGTATCTCTAGCCGCACAACAGCGGAATGAAGTACACTACTCCCTCCACACAGTTCACAAATCGGTCATGGTGTTTCTCTTGGTTTGTTTGTTTTGACGTTGCAGTATTCAGGTATACTCTATGTTAGCACAAATAAACTTCAGTTATAAGTCAGCGCCTTGTTCGTCTACCTTCTTGTTCTTGTCCGTGTCCTTGCACTGTTTTAATTTTTAATCATGAAATACCAACTAGCTCAAACTTCTACGTTAGTGATCTTCTAGATTCTTGAGCAAACTTTTCAACCTTTTCCATGCTGTTTTTGACTTGCAGAAAATACCTATAAAACTTTGTAAAGTACTACTATCTGTTTAGAAAACTTCATGATCAGTCTAAATTGTTGCTATTGCTTTGAAAGTTTCTACGAAGAGGTATTTTATTCTTACATCTTGGGGAAGTTTCCCAACCTTTCTCTAATTTTGCTTTTTTTTTTTTGGGCAAATCCTTCTTTACTCAGAGGAATTCATCAACTTGAAAACTTTTCTTTTGGTAAAAAAATAATTCTTGACTTCTCTTTAACCCTAGCAGGACCTCGGAGAAATTCCCGAAGTTTTCCGAATCTTTTCAATTCAAAAAAACATCTTCTTGGGAACTTAACTCTGCCACTTTTTAGAAAATCCCCCTCAAAATTCTGTGCAACAGTTTATTGAAATTTCAAATTTCCTAGCAATTCTCTAATCATCTCCACTTAATATTCGGCAATACTAAAAATTCCACAATGTTATTTAATTAAAAGGCTCCCTAAAAATAATTCCGGCTATTCTACGAAAAAAGTCCCCAACATTTCCCCACATCCTTCTGCACCTCTGGCACATTTCAGAACGATTCCCTAATGCATGCAATTTCCTAGGAAAAAACAAAAATGATTCCCCAATTCTTATCACTCCATAAAAATTCCCTAACAATACCCCAAATTTTCTACATCAAAAATAAAAGAACAATTCCCTAAACTGCAAAACTTCTCTAGAAAAATTTCCTGTAGATTTACCATGCTGAGGTTAAAAGTCTTGGTTAATCGCAAAATCAAACCAAGAATGAGGGACATAATGAGGATAAGCCTTGTTCATTTTCAAAATTTTGTAGGAAGGTTTAGAGCAACAAGCATTTTCGAAATGATATTTATCTGGCTTTCATCTCCACCTTGTCTGCAAACAAAGGTCCTACCTTACTGATGTTCCCAGCATGCTCTTTGTCCACCCCATATTCTTTGGCTCCTCTGTGATGGTGCTGCTTCGTCATCAAAAGCATCCTGCATCGACACAGAATGCAGATCCAGGATAAGTCAGCAAAAACACAAGGTAAAGACAGGTGGTATAGGCACATAAAAGTCCAAACTAAAACGCTCATCTTGTTTTAATTTCTTCTGACCGTACATAACAATGGTGCCCATTTTGAGTAAAGTTCACAATTCCAAAAAAATAAACTCTCTTGGCATAAAATTTCAGGCTTGGAAGCAGCTCAGTAAAATGATACGATACTTAAAAGATGGCAAGACCTTTATTTCTCAATATGTCTAGAATGTCTAGGATGTTCAGTAAGCCCGAAGGATGACAAGAATGTCCCTTTAGAACGTCCCTATGATAATCAGAATGTAAGAGAATTAGAATGACCGAGATAGATAATACAAATTATTGGCTACTTGGGAGATAACAAGACCGTTTATTTCTTCTCCAAAGGTTATGATGTCCCTAATATGATTAGAATGCCCTTAGGGTGTTTAGAATGTCCAGGATAGGTAATCAAAATGATTGTCAACTTGGGAGATTGCAAGATCCTTCAATTTTCCTTAAAGTAAATTTAGGATGTCCCTAGGATATTTAGAATGTCCCTCGGACACAACACACTCACCTCCCCACCAAGTCTGTCGTCGAGATGCCAGCCGTCCTACGACACTCTCTGGAAAGCAAGCAGGTTGTGCAAACTTGAGCTTTGGGTGCTTGAAAAGTCCCACCTACAGCAGCAAAGTATATCTACCCGTACAGATAAATACACTTTGTCATAGCAGCCCGAGCGCATCAACACTCACTTGTAGCGGCCGCTTTCCTTGACATAGCGATAGGTGTCCTCTCCAGAAGCATCGACAGTGATGTCGTCTGCAACAAAAAGAACATAATCCCGCAACATTTCAGTTGCCTGTCATTAGGACACATGAATGAATGGATAGATCATACAATCTGCACCTTTGTAATTTCGAGACCCTGTTACTTCTACTGTAACTAAAGTTAGTGAGAGGTTAAGGTTTCAAGGTAAACTCCTCCAACTTTCACATAGTGAACATTGGAGAGGAGGTGACTTCCTCTCCAGTGTCTGCTCCAGGGTGTAAGATAGACAGGTGGGGAAACGGCCCATAGAAGCCTACTGCAGCGCCGTGACCGGATTGTGTACTCTTCTGCTTGCGGGTACCCCCGCTTTGCGACAGATGGCGCTGCGGCGAGAGGAAAAAAAATTGGAATCGGATTTGCGTGGAACTCTATGGGAGAGTGCGCAAAATAAACCGAGAGCACGACGGTCCTCCACTGAAAATCCACGAGAAACCATCTCCGTCAGTTTAGCCGGTCGCCACCGGTCGCCCACCCGGAGTGAGAGTTCGCGGTGCTCCACATAGATGGCGCCACAGAAAAAGAGAAACCCGAGGGGGACACAATCCGGTCGCTTATTTGGCTCTCGTTTCCCCACCTGTCTATCTTACACCCTGGTCTGCTCCACCAAAGTGGAGAGGGGTGAGAGGAGCTCCCCCTGATTTCTTAAACTGTCACCGGCCATGGCAACACATGCCAAACGTTGAACGACCAAATTCGGCAGCCGAATTAAAAATTTCAGGTGCTTCCAGCTGTTTTGGAATGTTCTCTACCTCCTGTAAACCGGTTAACCTTTCGGAGAGTTGGCTCATAAAACGGGTCACCAAATTCCAGCTGCTATCTGGCAACATAGATTTAAAAACTCCCTGAGCAGGTATGATTCGAAACAAAGACTGCCCCCTCCATTACCGCCGTGGACGCAGAAGTTGCACTTGTACTTGTCCATCGTTTCCAGGGACGTGACGTACGGTGCGCCTTCCACCACCTGCATTAAAGATGGACGTCCGTCAGGGCTGTGTCGCCTTGAAACCCAAACCTTTACCTCGCCACATCGTAATCTGGCACCCTTTAGGCGGGACACATGCTGCCATTAACAGTCTAACTGTTATTGCAACATGCGAATAAGCTTTCCACGCTTTAATTAAGCAGTGCGACATGGCAGAGAGTTTGGGGAAGTACCCATGTAATAACACTACTCAAACTTTGCAAAACATTCAGTGGTAAGAAACCAGATAACCTGTTTCTTTCGCGCAAGAACCGAACGCCAAGTCGGGTACTGTGTTTACCTCGTCGACCCACTTGATCGCTCGCACCATCTTGTATCTTTCCTGTTGGGTGAAGACGGGAGGACCCTTGTGGTTCTGGATCTCCTCTGATTGGTTCACGGGAAAGGAAACAGACATGGTTATAAACACCATCCGCATTTAAACGCCGCCGCCGTCACCTTCACGGCACGCCAGTGTTTGTAGTGTTAGTTTGTTGGGCTGGGTCGATTGCGTTGTATGTGGAATACTTCGAAATAACGCTTCATAAAAGTTTGGAATTAGACTCAAACCCAGAAGTGAGACTCAATATGCACCTAATAAAAAATATTTTTCCGCGTTCTCGCAATTATACGTTCCAAACAGTACACTGCAGAGTAGAATACATACTTTATTATCTTTTAATCGGTATATTTAGCGATGAGAACAAAACTATTTTTTACCACTATCACTCCAACGAGTATGTTCTAAAGTTCAATATACCATAAAATACCAGGGATGCACCTACCCCACTTTTACTGGGTACGGGCGTAATCTAGACAAGGGCGCTTGTCCAGTCAAATCAGGCAGTTAATGTATAATTTGCAGAATTCCCAAGTTTGGGAAACGTTAACGGCAGGTGCTGAAACGAGGTGGGCACTTCTGCGGTATCTTATGGTATGTTGCAGAGTAGAATATGACCTCTGCATGGTGGAACCAGAGTCAAGAAACTGCTTAATGAACAACGTTTCCAAGGTAGGACCTATTGAGAAGTCCTCTCTGGTGCCAAAAACAAGAGCCAATTTCACTCCGACGCATCGGATGGAAACGTAACTCCCACAGTAAACGGCTGGACCGCCAGAAAGCTTAGACACAGGTTTGTACGAGAGATATCGGCAATTTAGAATAAAGTAGTACAAAACTCGATAGGCTTCCTGGGTTGAAGGGCAGTCCCCTAAAACCAATGCACCCACGGAAACCTAGATACCGAGCTGGCTTTCTCAAGATAACAAGGAAGCCAAACACACGCGCCGATGGCTAGAGAACTTGACCTTAACCAGAGACCTCAGCGTTCAAGAGCCCTCAAGGCGGTAGCAGAACAGTCACCCACAACCGCCAATAGATAAGCATATCCCTCCACGTCAGACGGGTACCCTTACGTGCAACCCTTATCTGCAAGTGCGACCAGTTCAGCAGTCTCGGCGAGGCCGCCGTCGCTCTCGGGTTAATTTCCGCGAGAAACATTGGGCCAGTATTTGCACGTTTTTTTCATCCAACGATCTGTCCCACTTTAGCACGAGAGACGCGAAAAAAAGCAGACGACAGTGCCAAGCGGCACGATGTGGGCAAACAAGATAATGGAAGGGGCACGCAAGTTTGGTCATTTGAGACGAACCCCACCCGCAAACTGTCAGCGAGGAAAAAGCAGAAAAGATAAAAACAAGATGTCCTTTGGCAAGATGGGACAAAACTAGTTTCGAGCTTGTTTACGACAGCAAAAATATGCCTCGTTTGCTCCAAGTGGCACGTGCTGTGGTAACTCGAGAGGTTCAAAACGCAAGTTTGGCAACGGCGCCAAAATAGAGTTGCACGTAGCGGCCCAAATTTCTCTCAAGGAATTGCGACTGCGACGGACGTCAACGAACAACCTGCCAATTCTGTATGGAGCTCACAGCTCGCACTCAATGAGTCAATGTTGATGAAGACAAATTAGATCCGGATTACATCCGATAGGCGCTCATGCAACAAACATGTTTTGAACTCGCAAAATGTTCCACTTTAAAGGAACTCTGATGCAATATAGAGTGTATCCAGATACACGCGTGTACGGGCAGATGTAGCGTAAAACCAAAGGCAAGCATGCTAACATTACACACTAGCAATTATGTCTGTATGTTTAGAAGCATTACTGCAATGTATACAACTTCCTTGTCTTTACTGAAGTAGGTATTTAACAAGTTAACAACTACCATAATATCCTAAGAAGTAGCCCAGCTAAAACCTCGAGCAAATCGGGTGGAAACGAGGAGAGAGCTAACTTTTAATGTGCGATCAAGGAAAAAAAAATGATTTTTTGTATATGTTGTGATTTATTAAATTACTTTTGACATTAAGGGCAATAGAGTATAGACAACTGTCCTTCCCAGTCAGCAATGTTTGCCCACCTCCTGTCGTAGTTTCCTGACCCCATTTCGGCCGAGGTCGCCATTGGTCAGGGCACCGCAATTACTAAAAATAAGCTATCCTTCAATGTTAAAAAAAAATAAAAAATTATGTCAAAAATAGGAGTGGGTTATTTTCAAGGGTGGGTCATCTTTCGGGATATTACAAGTGATTTTAATATCCCAAACAAACAATGATAAAAAAAAAAAGAAGAAAAGAATATAAGTCAAGTGGTAGTTTGCCATGCAGCAAGATGAAAATACTACTGTACAAGGAAAATATTTTCTATCAAATGTTTAACATTGTTAGGCCCGCTCCAGATGGGGCAACTTTTCGAGCAATTTTGAGGCTGCTGGCGGGTTGTTCCCTAGCTTTCCCTAGATCGACATGAATTGCTGAGATTGGTCCCGGCTCGAAACGGACGAGCAACTCGAACAACTCGGAGGCGTGTGAAGCGGCAGCAGCCAATCAGGGGCGCAATGTTTTCACATGACACCCCAGTGGTGGTGATGATGACAGCTAAAGACTCGGTTCTGGTTTGAAATGGATTGTTTTTGGAAATAAAGCTTTTCAGAAAGATGAGTTAGTATCTCAATGCCATTCAAAGATATAAAACCATGCTTTTTAGAGCATAGTTGTGCGTCTAAATAGTGCAAGAAAAATAAGATTGAATGTGATGATGGCAAGTCGTAGCAATTTGGTTGCTGTGTGTGAACGCGGGCAGCCCATGTTGCTGGTGTTGCGACGTCAAGTTGCTGGGCGAAATTGCCCCGTCTGAAGCGGGCCTTAGCAAAGTGCGTAAGCATTGTGAAGAGCGTGAAGAAGGAAGCTGGGAACAGGTTTTCCGTCAGGTTAGAGACGCCTTTGTTTGCCGGCCTCCAACAAAGAGAAGGGAGAAAATTTATGATGCGTGCTGGCAACTGCACAGCTGGTGACACCGAAAGAGGAAACATACTCCGACATCTGTGGTAGGACTGCCACATGGGGAACAATCAGTCGCTAAGCCCTTCCTATCAAAAAAGCTGTGTTAGAGGAAAGCAAAATACAGAAAAAAAGCTGCGAACCTTGAAACATCCGAGTGGCAGAAGTTGGTATTTAATACAAAACATGCTCATTTTATCTAGAAGCAATTCAGCACAAAAATTTCATAAAGTTCATCTAAAAGATGGAAGGTCCACGAGGCCAGGCATTATGTTAGGTAGAAATTAAAATTAATTAGGCCATTCGTGTTTTGTGTAGTAATAAGAAATGTTAAAATAATGCCCTCATGAAAAAAGAAAACCAGCACGAAGAACAGGTCGAAATTAAACTTATAAAACCCATAAATCAGCAAATAATCACTCAGACTAACAATAGAAGTTGTGCTCATTAAAAAAGTAGCAATTAAAAAGAAACCAACCACAACAATAGAAACTTAACATACTGAGCCAATACTTTTGATGGAAAGGACCAATAAGCACTCAGACAGTTACAGTCCCAAGCACTGCTAATAAATAGTGTGGATGAGGTGCTTTTCTACGACCAGATGTTAACCTAATTAACATACTTTTACAATTGCCTCAGCTCCGAAATCGTTAAACTGTAAGCTGTTCCATAATAAAGAGAACGAAAAAAACACAACCCAAGGCATGCAAAACTAACTAGCAAACCGAGTCCCACTTACAGATGTGAAATGCATGCATCATAATGTAATAAAAAACCTTTTACAGGTGTTTCTGCTCTGAAATGATTGAACTAAAATCGCTAAACCTTGTCATAGGGCATGGAATATTATTCACAGCTAACACATGCATCCAGACGTAATCCACACGAGTCTTATTCAAATTTTTACCCTACATTTTAAGACCCCAATTTTATACCCTAACCGGCTGCGTCTGAAATTAGACAACCATCTCTGAATTTAGAGACGGAGTCACACACACAAAAAGAGAAAATATTGGCATGTTAGGAGCTTACAATTTAATGGAAGCAATTTTTAGGTCAATGAAATGCCCCAAGCATGAACGCCCAATAGACCCTTCTTAAAATTCCGTCCAGCAACATTGGCGGTCACCATTTCTTGGGCACGAAGAGTGTGATTGAACCAGAGCTTCCGCTGAACGCCGGTGCAACCCTTCCGTCCCATACACGACCAGAGTACATACGTGCTCCAACAGTGGATTACTCAGACGATTAGCGGAGCAGCTACCTACCTCTCTAGGAGAGGTGGCTTGCGACCGAGAGGCAAATCGCGATCGGCCAATGAGCGCCCATCATCACCGCGCCGACACCGCTGCTGGGGTATGCCCCAGCAGCAGTGTCAGCCTTTCCTGAGGGGAAAAATCTGCCCAGAAACGGGTGTGTCCCGACCTTTCATCACGTTTTTAATAAAGAAATTGTCACAGCGCGATTGAAATTTTTGAATATTTAGAAAGCTTAGGGTCCGTAGAATCAGTTGTGACCAAGGACAGACAATTGCAGAATCCTCTTTAGTCCCCCTTTAATAGGTGTCTGCTGGCTGTTGCACATTTCGCAAACCTGTACTTGTGTCCTACCAATTTACGAAAAATATATAAACTTATGTAGGTGCCTGAGCACAGACTATGGAAAGGCTTTGTTTCGAATTCAGAGGAAGCAGGGTGAAACAGAGGACTCACCGTCAGTGTGAACTCCAACAACCAGGTAGTCACCCATCGCTTTTGCCTGCGCGGCGGTAACGGAAATACGCTGTCAGCGTGAATTCAGCCAAGACTGCTCTAGTTGACTTCACCACATGGCCTATATAAATATATATTTATATATATTTTTTTTTCTTCTGTGATTGCATTTTAAGCTTTTTTTGTCCTCCTAAAAATCATGCTCATCGATAACAAAAAGGCAAGGGCATTTTCTTTTCCTGAAAATTGTAGATAAGCTTTTCTTTTTTTTTTTTTTACAAGAAAGAGTTGGTCTAAATGTTTCCAAAATAGCAAAATATGTGCATTTGCCTCTCCTTTATTCAAACACAAGGGGGAAAAAAATGTCCCAATATAAAAGATCTTTTATAATGAGACATTTAGACCTTAAAAGATGAAAGATCTGTTTTCTTTGCCAGCAATAAATAATGCAAGCACGGTCGTGCTTAACATTATGGCGTCTCCGACATGACTGCATGTGATTCTGCAGTACAAAACAAAGTCGAAAGCTTGGTCGAAGTTGTGTCCAAGGCATTTTCTTCTGTCGTCCTCATAGTTCGACAGCGTCGCCCTGGCAGTTTTTGTTTTTAGGCACTGTTCAGGCACGCCACAACAGGCTAATAAGTTAATTAGTTCTTAATCTAATTAGCTCGCACACTGATCGACTCTTTCTGGTGTTGTGAAGTTACCTTTACTTCTTTAAGATCTAAGTAAGGTGCAACCTACAAGTTCTCAACATTACTCAAACTCGAAATTTACTTCACTTTTTGTGGGTCTTATGTGTTTCGTTACAACCAATCAGTCATTGAACACATTATGGCAATTCTCAGTTCAATTTTGTTTTGAAATAAAACGAAGAACAATGACTTACTTGACGCAGCTGATTGGCATGACCAAAGTGAACCATGTCGTAACTGAAAGAATAAATTAAAATATAAAAAAGTAAATAAAAAAAAAGTGTTCTATTACCTCATGAGATCAAGGCAGCTGATCGAACATAACAGGCTCATATATTTCACTTTTTTTATAATTATTTATTCCCTGCTACCTGTTCGAAACTCCTGTACTTTCAAGCGTAATCGTCACACATACACACAAAACAAAATTGCAAAATTAAATTCGCATGAACGAAAATCAACTAGAGGACCTCTTTAAAGAGCGAACTACAAAAACTACTAAATGACTGGTGACATAAGGTAATGACTCTAGACTATGCTAAACGTAGGGCACTCCATCTGACCCTGCAAAAAAATGCAAGCGGAACTTATTTATCGATTAGAACTTATTGGAGAAAGTCAAGGATTTCTTACAGTCAAAAGAGTAGCGGCTAAGAACACTAATCGAAACCATTTTTGATGAGCGCATAGCTACTATCGGCCTAAGCTAACGACTCTGGACTATGCCCAGCGTCTTGCATTCGATCTGAACCCGAAGAAGATGCAAACATGATTTATTTATCCTCCAAAACTTATCGGTGAAAGTCAAGGATTCTAAAAGAGTCCAAGCAGTCGCGGTTAACTCTACAAACATTTTGCAGGAATGGGGTTCCACTTACCAGCCATCGCACCATACTCTGACAAGCTTGTCATCCGAGGAATCCCCACTCATGTCGACCGAAGATGCGGCGCACTCCGTCGAGCACGCGACTGTAATGGTCACTGATCGCTGGTACGAGTCGCGCGGCTACGCACGACGGCCGCCATTGCGGAAAGTGAAGGGCCGCTTTTCCGTCGAGCACCAATCACGTGACTTGAAATATCCAATCACTGGCGTTGGGCGTGCCATTATAACGATACATCTGGATGTCAGAAGCAACTGGCAGAGCCGTGTATTTTACGGCTCTGGCAACTGGTGTGCGGCAGCCACATTACGTTGCCCAGGGCTTGTTTTTTTTAAATTGTGCTACTTAAAAAATAAACAGTTATAATTAAATAAATTTATTTATTATCAGTATATGTTAACTTTTATTAGACTTTTATGTTCAGCTTCTTAATTTCGATCACACAACTTTGCCAACTTTGCTGTTGGGAGTCGCTGCGGTCGACTTAAGATGGCGGTCAGCATGTTCCGGTCTTAGCTGCGTTTGAAGACTTGTGGTCGCCCTTTAATTCATAATAACTACCGGCAGGTTTTTGCGTCCCCTCAAGTGTCCTTGTAGTTTCGACGAGCACCAGCCCGAGAGCCAGGATGGGCATCCTTGAAAAGATCAGCGAGATCGAAAAGGAGATATCGAGGACGCAAAAAAATAAGGGTAGGTCGAAATCGGCTTTGCTGGCAACGTGAAATTGATTGACTGGCGCGTTTTTGCCGTCTATCATCGCTGTAAATCTACATTAATGCTTAAAAACTGTGCTGACTTAAGCTTAGCTCAGGCTGAGAAATGTTGTCATCCACTTCGGTTGCAAAACAAGGCGGATGGCGGCCGTGTTTGAAGCCTGCCATATGAGGGTTTACTTTGAGTAACAATATATACGTAACCAAACTTACTAAACATCCTCTTTTTCTTTTCCGAATTTTTATAACTTTAAAACTGCAACACCCATAAAGCTATGACACCCGTTAACATGGCTGCATAACAAGCGTCGTTTTATCGCCATTCAAACTAAAATACAAAACAAAAAAACATTGGAGCATATTAGTTTTTAATGCCGGAGAGGAGGTGACCTCCTCTCCAGCGTTTGCTCTGCTAAAAGTGGAAAGTGATGGGTAGAACTTCCCTCGGAGTACCTGTCTACCCACAGTGGACTTCAATGAAACAACAGTAGCATCCAGTTGCTAAGTCGTATTTCATGGATGCATTTTTTCGGGCATTTCTTTTCAGCAACCGAGTACCATTTAGGAGTCCTCAAGGCCAAACTTGCCAAGTATCGAACGCAGCTACTGGAACCGCAGGGAAAATCGAAAGAAAAAGTAAGTGTGTGAGATGTTCAGTACTAATCCCTTGGTATAACTGTAGCCATTGTATAGCTACAGCCATCAAGGTAACGTTGAAATGGTATTAAAATAGCGCGAAAAGAGGCAGAGGACCAGTGGAAGGAGAACACAGAAACAGCGCTGAGCTTATAAAAGGACCCGATGTAAAAAGAACTGCAAGAAGGGGTGTAGTTGGGCTAGTTGGTTGTTCATGTTAAAATGGTACTAAAACAGTGCAAAAAGAAAGACTCGTTACATGTTACCATAAAGATAACATGTAACGAGTACTTGGACGACGGGTTACACTTCTTCTATCCAAAGTATTAAAGGGACATTGACGGGGTATTTATGCTCGTCGAGGTTTTTAGTTGTACGTGACATATGAGTGCCCAACTACCCAGAACAGAATTTGCGCCTTGAAATTTGGTTTCTTTCCGCCCAAAAAACGCCGGTCGAGAACTGGCTAGTTTGAGTCGCGCTCACTCTCTTTTCGGTGGTCACGGTCCGTTTTCTAAGGTTTAGACACGACCACCAAATTTAATCCAAGTCATAAGTCGTTGATTGAAAAAAAAAAAAAAAGAAGGTTGCACAGACAACCAGAAGCATTCTGTGCGTTCACTGCATTATTCTCAACATGGCGTCATTTCGCGTATCGTGGGATTCACGGATGGCAGTGGACGACGGGCGTGGGACCTCTACTTCAGAACTGTCGTTCGCGGTACTGGCAAATTCTGTCTTCCTTCGAAAGAGAAATTTTGGACCTATCAAAAGAATTGGTATTGGTGGTCGGATAACACGCCCGACCACCAAGCCGATTGTATGAAGACGTTGCCGAGCCGTTGCCCCTTCTCGTGGCTGACGACATTGCTCGCGCAAACGTCAAGCACGAAGTGCATACTTCATGTTGAATATGCATACGTATGATTTCTTTACCATAAAAAGCGTAATGCTGCCCGACTTCGAGCCGATAGTGTATATGCTGAAGGGAAATCGGCAGCAAACATTCTGACCTACACTCGACCGGCTGCATTATTACAAACGAAAGACTTCTCCCAGTAGCTCAGTGAAAGACGTCCGCCTCACACGCAGTGGACACGGGTTCAGTACCTAGAGTGGGCGTACCTTTTGTTGTTTTTTTATCAAACATGTTGAGAGGTTTATTTTTCTTTTTTTCAATTATCACTGAAAAAACAAATGTTCTGGGCGAAACGTCGCTGAACTAAATGGTATGGGATTCCCTTTTTGACACCTGCGAACTCAATGTAGTCACTTCCCACAAAATGCAAAGAGCATATGAATCGGGTAGCGTTTTCTTTCCGAGGTGTCCGTAACTGTTCTGCAGAAATTGCAGCCAGCCACTGGTCCCGATCCCGTTGATCTTTTGGAAGCTTGTGCACTCTGCCGCACAATGCCACTCTCAGATGCAAGACATGGGAGGCAGCTCTTTATGCAATACCACCAAGCTTTTGGAAGCTTGGTGGTATTTTTTTCAGAGGTGATCACAGGTGTTAACCACGGGCACTCAACACTAATTTCCAACACTTCAGTGCACAAAGCAACTCATCTCGAAGTACAGAACCGTGAGCAGAAGAAACATAACTGCAAAGGAATCGCACAGCAAATGGTTCCCGCAACGCATTTCGTCTGCTGCGCACGGAAAAAAATCACAAAAAACAAGGCACGTTTGGGTGTGGCCACGTGACTTCCGGCTCTCTCTCATCCTCTATATTTCTCCGACCTCCATGCGGGGATTTCGGTTTCGGTTTCGAGCAGTTGCGTTTTTTGGCTTTATTAAAAATATATGTGACTCTGTAGCAAAATATTAATTGGACAGTATTCCGACACCATAATGAGTCGCCTGCCAAAAAATGAAAAAAACTTTTTTGGGGGGTGTCAGTGTCCCTTTAATGTTGGCAGATGAGTGCGGTGGCCCGTACTGCTTGAAGGCCACCCCTAAAATGGTTGAGAGGAGGTGCACGTAAAGATGATGGCAGCCTTCTCCACCGTTCCTTGCTGCCTAGCGAAAAAGCGAATGTGCCAAATGGAACGTTCTGTACATTCTCCCCCGAGGAACTTGAGTGTGGCCTCAAAGGAGTAACGACATTTCATAAACATTTTGGTCCTCTCTTGATATTGGTCTTACATTGGATGGCTCTATGTGCCAACATGCCTATGCAATGGTAAGTCTCACTTCCAACGGTCTTTTCGTGGTGGCTTTCTAAATGCAGTCCATTCTTAAAACTTACCAGCTGGTACTTGGAAACATTTTTATTTTCTTTATACCACATTGCCGAAGCCGATTTGGGACAGAGAATTCTACATAAAAAAAAAATTAAAAATAAAAAGTCTTCTCCTAGTGGTGGCTTTTGCCACCCCTAGGCGGCACAAGCCACCACCCAAAAAAAAAAAAAGAAGTTTGATTGTATCTATTTATTGGCGGGTTCTGTTTCTTTTGTCACGCGTTTTTGTTTGACCTGTTTTTCAGGGTGAAGGCTTCGATGTTATGAAATCTGGCGATGCCAGGGTGGCTCTCATCGGATTCCCGTCTGTTGGCAAGGTATGACTCGGTGACTTTGTGCAAAAATTGCTTATGAACTCTATTCCTTCTGTAGCTGTGCTCTCCTAAATTTTAACGACCGAGTTTGGCGTGTGGAGATTATTTAATTTGGCTTCGTTGAATAACCGAGAATTAGCGCTGGTGTCCCCTTAGATTCGGCGTTTTTGTTCCAGTCGACGCTGCTGAACATTCTGACGGACACACACAGCGAATCGGCTGCCTACGAATTCACCACCCTCACCTGCATCCCAGGTGTCATTGAGGTGGGTGTTGTCTGCTAGTTCAAAGTAAAATAATCTGCATGACTAAGCAATTTATGTGTTTGCTCTTACAGTACAAGGGAGCCAACATACAGTTGCTGGATCTGCCTGGAATCATCGAGGGTGCTTCCCAAGGTACGACGACTTGTGACTTTCATGCAAACATGTGAAACAAGTAATTTGCTCAAAAGACAGCCATGATAAGAAGATTAGGCATTTGATGTGGATCACTTGGTTGTCATAAGGTGGAAAGAGAGGTTGCCCTGCTTGATTTCACAAGTTGCACATTGTGCTAGTCCGAAGCGTGTGGATCTAAACGTGTCTAACTCGGTTTTGGAATTTCTAAAAAAAAAGCTTGAAATCTTCTAATTCTTCTAGCTTGAAGTTGCGAGGATTTGTGACACCCTTAAAAACATACAACGAAACTTTGGCGCTTATTTCTTGGTCTATACATGTCCAAGGGAATGGTATCACATTGGACACACCAATCTCTTGTTGAAAAGGACACCAAAAAAAACACTTTTAAAACGCTTAGCAAATAGCACCTGGTGGATGTCAGTAAAGTCTCATTTGTAATGCCTATCTGGGAACCTTGACAGGTAGTGAACATGCCTGTCTTGCCTAGAACTATATACTTGCATTGAACCTGACGTTGTCCCGCCAGCTCTCCGGCCACCACGGGGAAAAAGGAGAAGGAGGAACTCTCCTCTCACTGGGACTCTCTTTTCTGTGTCTCACACGTCGCTATTCTCCGTCTACAAGATTATAGAAGATTAGCCTGTCGCTAAAAATTCGTACAAAAGCAGCTTTAGGGTTAGTTGCGGTGGCCCAATCGCTGGCATGCTTCGGCACCGCGTGCTTCGGCCACTTCGGTGGCTGGAACGGCTGGGACATCCTGACGACATCAGCCTCGCCGCAGCTTTGCTCATCCCGAGGCAAGCTACGTCACGATTGCGCCAGATGTGACGTGCTTTCCTCTGGCTGCTCTCTGAGCATTTGCCAGAGTGGGCCGTTTATAACGGAAAATACAGCCACCAGGCTCAAAATACAAACGTGCGATTGTCATTTACAGATATTGTGGATCACATTCAGCCCATTTCTTAACACGACAGGCAAGGGCAGAGGCCGACAAGTCATTGCCGTGGCCAGGACAGCAGACTTGGTGGTCATGATGCTGGATGCCACCAAGGGTGAAGTCCACAGGTGCTTTTCAAGTTTTTTTCCTTTTTATCTGTTATTAATAGACCCCTTTCAAAAGTTAGCGCCATCCAGTAGCTGTTTCGCACACACTCCGAGCACGTATTGGACACGAGCGTTCTGTCGGTGTTCGGCGAGAGCTTGGATCCAATCCCACGCTTCGTGCGCAATGGACGGATGGATGGGTGCTAATTGCTGTACCCTTTATAATGGGCGGTAGCTTGTGCCACCTAGCCCAGAAACCGAAAGCATGATTGATCGCCTCGCCCTTCTGAGCCGATTGGCCCCCCCCTCTGCATTTTTCTAACCACTATTACCGGGCAGTGTGGGATATCGCCAGGGCCCAAAAAATGACAGCCAACAATGTTGCTTGGTGGGGTTTTGAAAAGGGTCTGTCACTCGTTTGTTTATTTGCACGTGCATGTAAACTATGGAAGCCATCACGTGGAATATACAGTGCTTTTTGTTAACGGAATCTGCTGATTTTGCCACCCCCCAGGAAGCTGCTTGAACAGGAACTCGAAGCAGTGGGCATCAGGCTCAACAAGCTGCCCCCAAACATCTACTTCAAGGCAAGTTTCTTGCCTAGAGACCGCCTTACCTTTTGTTTAAATTTAAATTTGTTGTTGACTTCGAATAAGTGTGAAGCACCAGGTTAAAATGGGGGGGGGGGGGGGGGGGGTGAGAGCTCGAAGTCGGGGAGGCAAGTTATTACTAGTACAAAGGACATCTTTTTGAGCATTCAAAGCTTGTTAGTGGGCAGTCAGACAAATTTCAGTATACAGCTCAAATGCTTTACAGATCTGTTTTAAAAAAGCCACGAAAGCTACGCTAGTGAGGCCTGTGCAGGTGAGTTACACGGCCAGGGACGTAACAGGGGAGTTACACGGCCAGGGGTAGACAATCGTCACAATAAATAGGCTAATGAACTAAAATTTGTTAATTGGCTTTTTAATTATCGAAAAGAAAGATACAGTTCTGGTCAGAAACTCGCCGAGCATCGTCAAAAGCCGGTAAGTAAGTAAATTTAACAGAGATTTGGGCGCATGCGCAGTGTGGTGATGCACCAAACTTTTCACCCATGCAACAGGCCCAAGGCTAGTGGTGCAACAACACACCCGCGCATTTTTTCCGTCTCTCGTCACCCTTGTTATCACACTGCCAGCACTGCGCCCGTTGCGCGAGTGGTAGCGTCGGCGCAATGCCGCTCCCCAAATTGTTCTACAATTCACTTCTTTAGTGGTTTTTGATGACGCTCGATGAGTTTCCAAGTGATGCCATGTTTCTCTTCAGTGATTAAAAAGTTAACAATGTGCGTTTGTTAACTACCCGACCCGTCGCGACGATTAGCCCTCTATATTACGTCCCCCTGGCTGTACACAACAAGAGGGTGCCATCTATCAGGTAGCAGTGGAACGCCTGCAGTTTCCGTATATTTTTTCTTTTTTTTTTTGTGCATCACTCTTTTTTTTTTATTGTTTCCTTGAAACACTTTTGACGATGTTATGAACTATCATTTCTCATAGATGGTACACGCATTCAATCTCGCAAATGCTGCAAAGCCTCTGCTCTAGTGAAATGCAGTCCCAGGGTCACCTCATAGGTGGCGCCACCGTGCCAGTGCGTTCTCTCGTCTTTAGAGATTGCGAGAACTCGATCTGAAGCAAATAGAAGCGTGCGAACGGGCCTTCACACGTTTTGTGCGAGGTGCCGCGCTAAAAGCTCCGCCGCTTTCTCGTAGGAAAAGAAAGCCGGTGGACTCTCGTTCAACTCGACGTGCAACCTCACCAAGTGCGACGAAAAGCTGGTGCAGATGGTGCTCCACGAGTACAGTGAGTACACCCCGACCGTCCGGTGTCATCTCTCGTCCTCTAGCCTCTCCTGAAAGAAGTCAAATCTAGTCCATTTTGATGTCGTAACTGACTTCAACCCTTTGCCTACCGCAATAATTTTGAAAAAAAAAAACAATTCAGATATACAGATTTTTTTTTTTTTACATTTTTATAGGGTGGTTCAAGTCACCAGGCTCGATCTAAAATGGACCAAAAAAATCGACGTCTGCACGTCGCCATCTAAACTTTTCGTCAAAGGTGTATTTCGCAGGTCTTGCCAGGGTCTATGGCGGGCGGCGACCCAGACGACCAAGTCCAGTAGCGGGGTGTGTTGGGCGTTCTTCACAGGGTGTTTCCGGTCGTCCATCTTTTCGACAGGTCCGCAAGGTCTTGTCGAAAAGGCAGACGCATCGAGCGACTCTCTCCTCTGTGGCTTCTCCCAACCCCCGCGTCCATCCGTTGGGTTCTCCAGGATGCCCGATTGGATGACTTCTTGTTTCGGCAGTGCACCTCTGCTGTTTCAACTTGTCCCTAGAGAAAACTTTCCCATAGCGTGACGAAAAGATTTTGGGGGTCCGGTTTTGGTCGACGTGCGAGCGAGAGCGTTTTCGACTGCCGATAGAGTGTGGCGCCGCAGCCTACGAACAATCGACCGACGAGACGTCTTTGACCCGTTTGCGAGCTTGCAATCAGGGCAATATTTTGGTGAGAACGTCTCACCAACATACAAATAGTGAGAGAGGTCTCGTGGCCTCTGATGTTCCTGTCCTCAGTGTTCCTTCATCCACATATCGATGTCAGCTTGCGTACGGCAGCAGAGCAACTTGAGATTTGGAAATGAAGCGCGAGTTTTGAATGGCTTCCAATGTAAAATAACAGAGGCTTACAATTTCGACCGGCGTCCGATCTCTCTTCGCCGGGGTGCTCGGTTCGTAGCGGACAATAAACTTTTTTGCGAGTCTGTTAGTAATCAACCTACGGTGTTTTCTTGTTTTAGTATTTTTGTCTGCGAATGATGCTTTTTAGCAGACAGACTGCATTCTTTGCTCACATTAGCAGATAAACTATCTTCAAATGCCACCTTGCTCGCTTTGCGAGAAGCAAATTGGATCTTGCTCTCGTCTTTGCGATGACCAAAATCGGATACCTGGTAATCTAGGGGCCATGTTACCGCCTGCACGAACTCGTTCGTTGTTATGAAACTGGGGTGTGGCCCTCTCTGCGCAGAGATCTTCAACGCGGAGGTGCTGTTTCGCGAGGACTGCTCTCCAGACGAGCTGATTGACGCCATCTTGAGGAACCGGGTGTACCTGCCCTGCCTGTACGTCTACAACAAGATCGACCAGGTGTCCATCGAAGAGGTGGACCGGCTAGCCCGACAGGAGCACAGCGTCGTGGTCAGGTGAGATGCCACAACGTCATGCGGAGACGAGTGATGCGACATCCAATCGCCGACGCATCTCAGATATTGCCGGGTGCATGGCCGACTCTTCTGGAATGTTCTAGTAGCATCTTAAAATGTATCGCTTAATCTCGTGCAGAGTGTTCTTAAACTACGTAGACTCTGTAAAAGAAGCTGAGAGTGGCAACTTCAAGACAGTCGCCAATGCAGAATGCGTGGTACTTTCCTCTAAGTTTGTGGCTGCAAGTTCACCTCATTAAACTTTTATTTTCATTTAGACGTTTGTTTCCCATTTTCAATCCATGACAATATGTACTGGCATGATGCCGGTGTCCGCGTTAATTGATCGGTCATTTTATTTTTGAGGGCTCTTTTATATTTCTCTTTTAGAGGAGATTGAGTTGGAGAGAAAACAAAATCGTAGAGGCATTACTAAGAGGCAGAAAATTAGATTTGGTTACAGCACACAGCAATGCAGAGCACAAGTTTGTCTGCTTCTTTTGCTGGGGTTGTGGAGACATCAGAACGCCGAGTTCCGATTGAAGGATAGTGGGTAGACCTCAAGGCAGCTTGCTTTGAGGTCTACCCACTATCCTTCAATCAGAGCCAATCAGAGCTCAGCGTTCTGACGTCTCCACAACCGCTGCAAAAGAAGCAGATGAACTTGCACTCCGCATAGAGACTAGCGAGAGCAGTTTCGAACCGGCATTTCATCTGAAGGCGCGTCTGGTCTAGAGAAGTTCTCTAGAAAACGACTGCAAATAGAATGTGTTCTACTCTGTTGCAGGTTAAGAATAGCAGGGCAGGCTCCTCCTACAAAGTCCTTCATTCTTTCCTTTTTAACAGAGCGGACGTCGGAGGGGAGGCGGGTGGATTCGCTTCCTCTCCAGTGTTCGATCGTGAAAGTGGGAGCAGCGGAGGGCTTTGCAAAAGGACCTTGTCCCGCTTTTCTTGACCTTCAGCAATTACTTATTGGTAGGTCCACTTCACTAGAACGTTCAAAACGGGATGAACAAGGTCGTGGGAGAAGCAGTCGACTGCACGGCAGGTTAGTGAAAGATAAGTTACGAAAGAGATGCAATCAAGCGAGGCAGATATAGGTTAAACTTCGAAGGTAACGCGGAAATAATAATTTCGCATGGCCTCTAGGATTTTAAATCCTAGAGGCCATGCGAAAAGAGGGGGTAGCGTGACAGCTGCGGTCTCCCTTTCAGTTGCAACATGAAGCTGAACCTGGATTACTTCCTCGAGAGGCTGTGGGACTACCTGGCTCTCATCCGAGTTTACACCAAGAAACGAGGCTGTGAGTACAACCGTGGTGCATGGAACAGCCCCTCACTCGTGCTTTTTGTCAAGACGTCTCGCACCGACCGCCAGGACCGCGACGTCCGACACGACACGACACGCCGGCTTTCACGACCTCATTTGTTGCCGCTTCACGTGTTAGTCAAAGACGCGTTTCAGGCACCATTGTAGTTTTCCGCCAGCGTCGAGTGTGGCATCCGTGCAGCGTCTGCGCATCGACCGGGAATGCCAGAAGCTTTCAGTGTGGGGCAGTTGGAGATGTTATGAAATTGTACCAAGTTTGTTGCGACTTTTTTTTTTGTTTATTCATACTCATTCTTTTGGTTTCGTTTTCAGCACCACCCGATTTTGACGGCGGTCTCATCCTGAGGAGGAACTCGACCGTGGAGCATGTGGTGAGTGTCGCGCGTCGGCGAGGAAAGACCCCCACCAACGCGAGACCTTGTGCCATTTAATATTTGGTCTCGATTCTAGAGGGTGACTCTGGTCGATTCACACATTTCTAGCCGTTGTAATCATGTGCTGGCTCACTGTGGCCCGGGTCTGTTTCGGTCGGCGAATTCAAGGTTATCGGCAAACATTGGCGGCTGTAGTAAGCGTCGTCTCCATTCAGTTTTAGTTGCACAAGTCTGAATGAATGCTTGAAACTAGACTGCACAGATAGGAACTATAGTCACTCGCAAGGTGTGGACGGCAGGGAGGAGCTTCAGCCGTTCCGCCTCCAGTGTGAGGCTCCTACCTTCGACGACACTTCTACTGTCAATTCTTCACTTGGTACTCGCTGAAAATAGGCAACAATGGCAGCACGTCCTTGGTGATTTAGTTTCTAAAACGAGGCAATTGAAAGTATTTACAGGTTTGCGATGCGGTAATTTTTTTTTTTTTAGAGCTTCCGCTGATAAAGTTGTGCTAATTTAATAACAGATTTTTAAGGGGTAATTAGCAGAAGGATTATTTCAATAACTTAATTTTTATTGACTGGTTCAGATCAAATCCGAAATTTCCAGGTGGTGCTGGCTTCGACTTCATTATTAGATTCCACCTTGACATAATGTATTTTTTAGTGTGGTGCAAATGTTAGAATTTTCTAATAGTAGTTTCGAATAATACGCTTTTCAATATTTGCTTCAAGGTGAACTATTCATACTTTTCGAAATTTTGATTGCGGCGAGCGAGCGTGCTTCTTACAGAGCACCCGTGAGCTGTGGGAAAGCAATACTTGCGGAACTCGCGGGCATTGCTTTCTTGCAGTGCACAGGTGCTCGGCAAGAAGTGCACTCAATGGGCTCACCGCCGCAATTATGCGCAAGTATATGTTACACAGCGATGGCTCGACAACCCGCGTTCATCCATGTCTTTCTTTTTTTTTTTTGTCAAATTCAAAATTGGAAAAGAATATGCATGTAGCAAGCATATTTATAAATCACCTCGATGATAAGAACTGTGACCACATTGTCGTTTACACGCCACAGTTCACAAGTATAGCCCCATTAAAATTAAGCGAGCTTACGAGTGGAAGGTAGGAAACAACCTTCACGAGTTCAGCTAAGTTTTTGTTTGAGCGTGGTCCACGGTTGGAGAAACTATTTGATATTCGATTAGAAAATGTTCGGCCAAAACTGCTATTTGCTTCGAACTCAAATTTCATTATCTGCACGTGCCTGGCATTTTTATAATATATAACTAAGAATGCAGCGGCTAGGTGGCACAAGTCATTGCCCAATTTGAAAGGTGAAACCATTTTCGTTCATCTGTTTCGCCCCCCCAAAACATCCAATTTTTACAGCTGTCGATGGCATCTATCTTGATGTGAATTCAGCTTTTTTCCCTTCTTTGTGTTCTTGCAGTGTCACGCTATTCATCGAAGCATTGTGCACGTGTTCAAGTATGCTCTCGTATGGGTAAGTGGTAGAATCATTGTTATTTACTTTTGAGGGAAGGTCAACTGCCAGGTGCACCGTTTTCTCATTGGCTGAAAAAGGAAGTCCAGCGAACCCTTTCTTATTTGTGCAATTACAATTGGCACTACTGAAGAGAAAGTTCACAGTAAGTAGACCGTTTTAAAAGGTTAGGGATAAAGTGTGGTGCACGCTGGTGCCCTATGCTATACAGGTAAACTCCTTGCTCATAACACGTGGGCACCTTAACGCAACTGAAATCTACACTCGTAATGGGCATGTTCGCAATACACGAATGCCGGTGTATTTGTGGAAACTGCAAATATCACACATTAAAGAAATGCTGGAGTATGGTGTCAGTGGATACCTTTAAAGCCTGTTCACACATACAGCACACCACTACCTCAATGTTATTAGTATAGTCAGCACTGGAATTGGTGCCTTTAGTTCAAGAGAACTTTCCACTTATAACAGTTCTGCTATAACAAAACATGTATAGAAAAAAAAAAAAACCCATTGCTGTGTAATGCATGCTTGCTTGTTTGCTCATGAAAGTTACCAACCTAACAAGCATGCTCCGGAAAACATCTAAGCTTGATTGGCATTAGTGGATATGTTTCACGAATCGTCCGGTTCTGTCTGCGCAGGGGACAAGCACAAAGTACAGCCCTCAGCGCGTCGGCCTTTCCCACGTCGTCCACCACGAAGACGTCGTGCAGATTGTGAAGAAGTGACACCGCTACGTCCGCTAGGCTTTATTCCGGCAGGCTGCTCGCCATCTTTCCTTTGCCCCCTGGAACGTTTTCAGAGACCGTGCCGCAAGACGAAAAGATGACTAATAAAAGTTGCGGCTTGATTTTCCCAAAAAAACCTCTCTGCTGTCGAGCGATTCTTTTGATTGATGGGTTGGGTCTAGATGCGAAGGTCCGTTCTCACATCCTACAAATGGACATATCAGAGTTTAGTCCCAGTTTTATTGATTGGAGACAGAAGAGATATAACTTGAAGTGTGCCATGGTTGCTCAGGCTTGCAGCGAAGACAGGGTACGGTACAGCTGCCAAACAAAAGACTGACATTAAATCGATTTAACACATACACTTGTACACCAATACAAAATGTCTGCGGATACTCTAAAATCTAGAAACCTTATGATTTTTCTTTTTAGTATATTCTTTAGTTTTTTTGTAATGGGAGAGTGTCTGCTGTAAAGTATATGTAATATTCGCGGGATTAGTTACATCGATAGAATTTGCCCTGAACTGATTTTTGGCGAAATTCTGTGCCTACTGGTTTCCACATATGGTTAAGGGGGGACACTACCCAGAAAAAACAATTTCTGCAAAAAAAGTTGATTTTGAAAAATGTCATATTTACATCCACCAACATCTAGAGAGTATTCCCAGAAAGTTTTGTTAGTTTACACTGCATAGTTAATTTTTTATAAATTCTTTTCGGTCCACCGATGCTAAAGAAAAGGTAGAGGTTGGAGCACTTTGAACGCATTTTTCTCCATTCCACTTTTTGCCATAAATTTCACTTTAGGAAAACTATCGTTTTGTTATTACGCATCTTGGATTCATTTTTATGAGTTTCTCTGGGGTGAAATTTTAAGGGGAAGATAACTATGAGCTTGTATTTTTTATTTTTGTCATTTTTCATGCTCAAGAACTAAAAGTTTGGACAAAAGATGGAAATCTAAAAAACTGTATTTGTGTTTTAGTGGCTTTTTTGTCATGAAAGATGGTATAACATAGAAATATAGCTCCATAGTTATCTCCTCTGAACTGTCCTAATGCAATGTAACACATGAAAACGACAAATTTATAAGTAATTTCAAAACGATAGTTTTCCTAAGCAGACACGCCCACTTTCGTCTTTGAACGTTTGCAATTTTTTTTGTACTTCACCCAGGTCAACAAAAATTGGCAGAAATGTTTTCAACATCAACAGAAACAAGCCCTGTAAATATAATTTAAATCAGACAAGTGGTTCAAAAATTTACTTTTTTGGGTAGTGTCTCCCCTTAATACATACATGTGATCAATTTTTTTTTTTTTTTTTTTTAACTGTTTTCTGTTTACGTAAATTAAAGTCTGCCAACTGTAAGTCACTCGTACTGCTTACCGTTTATACCCAAAAAAAATAATCCAATTTTACAAAAGTAGAAATATTTAATGGACAAAACCCACGTAATAGGACCATCCTCACACATGCGTAACATTTGAGAACAATCAATTCACACACGACACGTGAACGTCCTCTGAGTCACAACTACAGACGCTCTTACAAGCGGCAATCCCGCCGCGCCTCACCTCCTCAAACTTGTGGTACTGGCGGATGTAGAAGTCTCCGTAGCGCCTGGCCACCTTGGTGTCGGCAATGTGGATCATGTCCTGAACGACATGCGAAATCCAATCCGTTAGACGAATGAAAGGCAATTTAGAACACCTACAAGAGGGAGATGTCGCTAAACATTTTCCCATCGGCTTTCACTCTCGCAAGCCCTCAAACCCGTCCCCTTGCGACCGTCGCTTACAGCGAGAGCACGCTAGCACCATCTATCGGACAACATTGGAACAATCCCACTCTACATACGTAGTAATGACATTTGGGGAAAGGGTAAGGTGGACGCCTCGTCTTCTAGGTCGTATCGTTACGACACACAAATAAGAGGGAAACCTGGTTGCGACAACCCCACCACCATGAAACGTCGACCCGACCGGTGCGCTCGGCGAACGAGCCGCCAACTCTTCGAACGTGCTCACCCCATCGATGAAGAAGTCCACGTCGGATCCGGACTGGAACTCTCCGTCGAGGCTGCTGGAGCCCTTGGTCCAGACCACGTTCTTCATCTTGTGCTGTGGGTCGGAAAATCGGAGACACAGATATAACATCTTGTTCTAACTAATCCAGACTGTATGGTTGACTAGATATAAAAGAATGCGCAAGAAAAAGAGAAAAAAACGTACGAGCCGTTTTTGGTATTTTGGCAAGTGATCCCAGACAAGCCTGACCGGAGAGTGGTTCGTCAATGTTTTTAGTTCGCTCGTTACTTGAATAGATCATTGTCTAATGTATAAATAAAAAAACAGAAGCCACCGAAAACATTGCTTAGAAACAAATTCTTGGGACGCAAAAAGTCGTAGTTCATGAAGAGGTGAACACCAGCATTTACGTGCACCGCCTATCTGATCAAGTTTGTTTGTAAATAGAGACGACTCTCATTAATTCAAACTTCAGGAGGCCAGGAATTTTATTTGAATTATCGGAAATTCATCTTATATTACGCAAGATAAAATGGTGGTTTGTTATAGGCATGGCTGCACACACAAAGCAGATATTCGATGACCTCCTCTACACAAGCCTACTAATCAACAGCAGTTGTGCCACACATGAAACATTGATGAAATGTACGAGACAAGTTCATTCGGCCCTGAGAAATGTTGTCTATCATGCTCTGGTTAGAGAGGCACCTGAAAACAAAATTAAGTTTGTTCATCCAGCAACTGTCTATTGTGGACTATTTGCCCCATTGAGCATGCTTCTTGCTGAGCACCGGTGCGCTGCGGAGAAGCAACACAGTGGAAGCGAGCTCCACGGGTGTTGCTTCTCTGTGATGCAGTGGAGCTTGGTTAAAAGGACGCTTAATGGGGCCACGAGAACAAAACAATATGAATTGCACGAAAATGCCGTTCTAATTAAACGGCTCATAGATACATTGAAAGCATAGCGGGACAACCAAAATTTTTATAATGGTTTAAATTTAACCAGAAGTATGAAATATACAGTTTGAATTACAGTGAGCCTGCTTTAGCTAAGGGTATAATAATAGAAGTTCAATAATTTGTACCAAGTGTAGATGCAGCTAAGTAGCCATAAATAATACTCTAGCTGACAATTGCACTACTATGAGAATGTTCATAAAAAAAAGTCCCAGACATGGCACTCTGAGCGATTGTCTGCAATCTTTGCAAAGACAGTATTTCATCTTTTGAATCTGCTTGGGGCAGTACTCTACACAGAAAGGGATTCTGACTTCCAGTTTTATCCAATTAACACAAGCTTTTACTACTATCAGTACAATTTGACAAATAGTGTATAAGATGGCTAGTATAAAATATACGTACGCTACAAAAAAAGATGCGTTTTTTGTATTTCGGACATAACAAGCCATTAGAAAAAAATATTGAGGTGTATACTAGCCTAGCTTCTATAATTCAATGAAATGGCCAAAATTAAGCGATAGAGGGACAGCCGTTTTCTGTGTAGAATCCTAATGCAAAAGTAAAGTTATCCTTGTGGAGCCCAAAAAGGTAAAAAAACATCCATATTTATATAATTTTTTTAAAATGGGCTTGCAGGTTTGAAATGCGCGTCAGAGAATCGTGAATCAGAAGATGTTGCTTTCAAAATAGTCTAAAAACCAGACAAAAAAGTGACTCACCTTGAAGCTCAGCAGGTGGCAATGGAAACTGTCAGGCTCATTCTGTAAAAAGAAACACAAAACAAAGAACATAAAAAATGAGTCGTAAAGGGCTTCTTGGAACAACCAAAAAGTTGTTTGCTTCTAAACAACAGGAGCACGGGCCAGTGGTTTGAGTAGCAACCATGCGCACAGCAATGAAAATGAATCAATAACACTTCAAATGGGACTAAACGGTAGTAGAAAGGCCAATTAAAAAATTGTTCACACAATTTGAGGTAAAATATAAACGGGCCTCGGCACATTATCGCAATATATCCTATAGAAGTGCAGAAGTAGTGCTGACTCACCCCCTTGTCCAAGAAATTGGCCAGCTTAGAAACCGGCATGGTGGTGTACAACTTGAGGAAGCTGCACAGGCAAAATCGCACCTTCTAAGAAATCATTTCTGCAGCATTAAGACCCATTTACACGGAGGCGTTTGCACATGTTTTCTTGCGTTGCGCCACGAGCCGTCAGTACATCTATGCTTCGAATGCTGCGTGAAAAGCTACTCCTTGAATTGGTTGCCACTCCATACGAAGCATAGATGTCCCAGTGTTCCTCGACGCAAGCTTTAGAAAGATGGATAGAAACGACAAAAACAAAAAAAGTTAAGGAGCTCCTTTGAACTATCGTCCACAAAGCATTAAGGCTGGTTCAAATAGCACTCTTTTCTAACGTTAAGCATGTCACCAAAACAGTTGTGTCTCTAATGTTGCCCCATGCCAGGCAATCTCCTTGAAAGGGTAGCCATGCTTGACGTAAAGCTCAAATGTCCCAATGACTTGTGCGTAAGCAGACGTAAGCTTTTACAATGCGACATAACGTAAGGAAACGGAGCTGTCTGGACCAGCCTTCAGAGATACGCACGAATATGTGGGCAGCATGACATCACGGTGTCGAATCGCGTGACATCGTGCGACGTGGTGGTTGAGGGACGTGATGTCGAATCACACTATGACTCGACACCCAAAGCTCCTAGATCTAATAACTTTTGTTGGTACTCTGCACTGACCTGTAATCGAACCGACTGCGTGACCATCTGACTTATATACTCTGTTTCACCTTATGTTGTACCGCAGCGAAGGCTAGAAGCGCGAGCTCACAACATTGGCAGCTGCCCTTAATGCACGAGAGCTCGTGCCGCCAAGATGTGCCCTAGAGCAAAAAGCTCGCGCTTGTAGCCTTTCCTGCGGTACATCATAAGGTGAAACAGAGTATAGTGGCAGCCTGCTAAATTTGGCGGGACATTAGACCACTAAATGTAGCTTATGAAAACACGGTAAGGCTATGTGACAGCTACGCAAAATCTATAACTTCACATCCGTTAAAATTCACTTCACACTAAAAGAAATCCTTTTTCTATGTAAAACGGTGCGCCCAGCGAGGTAGTGGTGCTCGCAGAGACTATCAGTCCCACGAAGTTCTGCGATGAGGCGACGACAAAGAGGTGGCTTACCTGCGGATCGTGGGGAGCATAATCTGCCCCTGAACTTCGCTGAGGAAAACGTTCAGCTGCTGCTCGAGCGGTTCCTGCGCAGTTGGGCGACAACTTGTTCAGTGCACCAGCAATAGACACATAACGCACCTTCTAGGCAGTGTTCCGGGGTTTTGGAGCTCAGTTCGTCTGCATTCACTTCCCGTAAATTCCCAAAACAATACAAAGTTTTAGTAAGTCGTTCCGATACTCCCGATAACGATATGACGCGTGCCAAAGGTGTTGGCAGAGTGTCGGGCATCGTTGACGGAACCATCTACTAAAACTCCCTAATGCTGGCTTGGAATTGGGGGAAAATGTTTCACTAACAAAAACGCGGCACCATGACAAAGACATACTTGAACCTGGTTACATCGAACGTGGGCATTTCGAATTATTGTCCTCCGGTTGGAACATCCCCTTGAAATTAACTTGCACTCAGTTCATAACTAAAAAAAAACTGAACCCGGTTTAGCATTTGTTTTTCTGCGTAAAAACTCTGGTTGGCATACTACATTTGTGGGCTTTGCAGACCGATTTTTTGCCACACAATTTTTCGTCGTAGTGCTTCGATTGATTTTCTGCTTCCCCAACGCTCATCTTGTAAGCATCGGCCGTCACACTGTTGGGCGGTTTAAAGAGCGGCGACCAGTTCGCACTTTCCACTTTTCTTTCCCTTCCTCCTCTCCCCCTTCTACCCTGTCCACCTTGCAGAATCTCGAGTCTGGTCATCGGCCTTTAAGTACGACCGCAGCTGACGCTATGACTCGACAGAGCCAATCACGCAGTGACAAAAATGCATCAACACGGTGCTCGTTGGCTAAATAAACAAATAATCCGGGTTCGACCGTGTTGTGCAAAGATGCGCGACCAACCTTGGAGAAGTTCTTCTGCTCTTTTGGTGGCTGCTTGTCTGAAGACGCGACCGGGGGTGTCATCACCGGCGGCACCGGATTCAGGAACTTGGGGCACGCAAACGTGAACATGTCTCCAAACTCCCCCTTGTCCCTGGGGGCGAGAGACGGCGCAGGCGTGTCAGGGTACGGACGACTGTGGGTGCCGAGGGGGGGCGGGGAAGGTTGGACGCACCCTTTCTGCATCTTGTTCATGCGGTCTCCGTACTTGTCCTTGAGCTGGGACAGGATGCTCTCGTCGATGCGTTGGGGGTGCAGCGTCAGGCAGATGGCCAGGAGGGCATACATCTTCTCCGTCTGCTTGTTGATCTGAATGATTGATTGATTGGGTTTTAATGGCACAGAAACTACCTAGCCCACGGTACTTGCTGATCTGATCGAACGATTGGGTTTTAATGGTACAAGTACTACCAAAGTCACAGAGCTTGTTGATCTGATTGATTGGGTTTTAATGGCAAAAGGGCTATCAAGTCCACAGAGCTTGTCGATTTGACTAATTGATTGATCGGGTTTTAATGCCATGAAAACTACCAAGCCCATAGAGCTTGTTAATCTGATCGATTGACTGATTGGGTTTTAATGGCACAAGGACTACCAAGGCCATAGAGCTTGTTGATCTTTTTGATTGATTGGTTGGCGAGGTTTTAAGGAGGTACACAACTCTTTGAAGCAAAAACACGCAGAAAAAATTACATTTTTAAAATTGTGCTTTTGAGGATACAGTAGGCTTGCAATAATTCAAACTCAGATATTTCCTACTTCTAGTTAATTCAAATAAATTTTTAAATTTTGGTTGTCCCACTGTTTACAGTGTATAAGCCACTTGATTCTAATGGCTATTTTCTGTAATTCATACTTGTGCAATGCATAGAGTACACAAGAGACAACATTTTTGAGGGATAAATAAACTTATCACGTACATTTCGCCAATGTTTCACATGTGGTATATCAGCTTGATTAGCAGGTCTGTGTTGAGGAAATCATTGAATATCTGCATTGTATGTGTAGCAATCTATTTAGCAAATCATAATTTTATCTGTGAATTAATGCCGGGATTTTTCCTGTCACCCAAGTATTTACACAAAAAAAAACCTGTTTATTTTTCAGATATTGCTATGAAAGTGGAGAGAAATTGGTCTGCAAATGTTTTTTTTCTCTTATTTCACAATACACATTTTACACACATTGCCATTTTATGGAAGCCATATCTCTACGTGTTTGCACTGTACAACCAATGTTTGTGAATTCATTTTTTTTCCTGGTAGAAGAGTGAGGTATCCAGTAAGGTGTATAAGTGTGGTAAAGTAGCTCTTTTTTATGTGCCTCATCCAATAAGGCGTATAAGTGTGGTAACTAACTAAAGCAGCTCTTTTTTATGTGCCTCCAACATTTCTCGCAACAATTAGTTTAAAAACAAAAAAATGTTGAAACTTATAAATCATTGTAGAGTTTTCGTTTATACATTATTGAATTTTGTAGACCTTCTAGTTTACTGAGATAAGTTTATTTTCTGATTTCAATATTTGAATTTGTCTTAATCCTACCCATAATATTTGAAGATGAAATCCTTAATAATATTCAAACTAATCAAGCTACAAAAAAAAAAAAATCTGAATACATATTTGCAATCAAAATGTAAGAGCAGATATGCTAGGAAACTTCCATTCTAATTGTACCACAAATAAAGAAAAAGAAAGCTCTAGGAGCAGTGTATCTAATTAATAATACAAATACTACCAAGCCAATAGAGCTTGTTGATTAAGACCGGGACAGCAACTGAGCTCACTCCCTCTAGAGACTTTCATTATTGTCAGAGGCATCCCCCACAATCAGTTCTTTTTCCTATCCAATGTCTTCCCAGGCGACTTTTAGCAATAACTCAAAGACTACAGCCAAATGCTACCATTTTGCGGTACGGTCTAAATTTGAATTTAAGTCCGGCGCTTGGTGTTTGCACCATTTCTTGCCACTCAGAGAGAATGTAAACCCTCTTGCAAACACACATAAAGAAACCTTGTTTTCATAAACTGGCTTGATCCCTACCACTTGTCAGTCCGATTCCACTAAAGTTCACAATGCCGGCCCCGACTTAGAATATGGACCAGGCCAGAGACTTAGAATATGGTCCAGGCCAGAGACTTATAATATGGTCCAGGCCAGATTTTACCTTCACAGATCATCAAGTTTAAATCAGTCAAGATTTTCATCCATGGCACTACTGTACTCTCTTAAGACTGGAAGATAGAAGTTAAGAATGATCCAGAAGCTCTTCCCACACCCTCATTACCCCAAGCCCTCGTTCCTCTCTGCGATGTGCAAGTAGTCCGCTATCGAGGCAGACGTCGCATTGACCACATGTAACTCGTCGTGGCTAATGCCTTTCCTGGTTGGTCCATAAAGCGATTCAATGCCGTGGCTAATACATGGGGGCATTTATCTGGCGCAATGTTCAAAGAGTGATACAACACAACAAGAAACCAGAGGAAGCCCACAACCTACTATGTCAGTGCCGCAGTGGTCCAGGCGTGACAAAGCTTCAATTTACCTGGTCCACTTGGTAAGACCGCTGCTGGAACATGTGCTTGGTCCGCTGGATGTAGACCAAGATGTTGGAAAAGGTGCGGATGGCATCCGCATAGCGTCGCATCATGAGGTATGCAAAGCCCACATAGTAGTAGGTCGTGATCTGGCACGCCGGCACCCTCGAATACAGGCTCTGGGAGGGTAGGGACAACCAAAATGCAGGTGAGAAGCTTCAGCAGATGACCTTAGGCACAAAAATGAAAGACGTTAAGAGCGAGCTTGCAAAAGTAGGGAGAACCAAGAAGAAAAGTGAGAAGCTTCAGTAGACTCTAAGTACCCACAAAGGACATAGTAGGAGCATGCTTGCGAGGGTAGGGAAAACCAAAAGAAAAAGTCAGCAACTTCAGTAGATGGCTCTAGGTACAAAAATAGAAGACTTAAGAGCAAGCTTGCAAGGGTAGGGACAACCAAAAGAAAAGGTGAGCAGCTTCAACAGACGACTCTAGGTACAAAAATGGTGGACTTAGGAGCCAGCTTGCAAGGCTTTGAGGACTAGAGTCAGAGAAATAGTAGACCTCTTTAAGCAGAATACCCTCGAGTGAACAGTCTGCATAATTGAACTAGCAAAATGTCTTTTCGGTTTCTGCATGTCTCGATAATGATGATGTTTGTGAATTTTATAGCACAACAGGAATGGGGACCACACTGTAGCTGACTAGACGGCCAGGGTAGTACAAAGATAGCTTTGTTACAAACCAAAAACTTCTAAAACCAGGTAAGGCTAGATATTATATATAAGGCAAGTGCAAATAGTGAAGGATATTCTGCTTCCACATTTCCAAAATGGTCTTCTTGTCTTTTGATAAGCTGTTCTATTTCGCCTTGTCCCTTTCGGGTTCCACTAAACTCACAAAATTGACATATATCAAGCACATCTTTCCATAACAAAGGGATTTGTTGCAAGCAACTATAAAAGCCACTCTTCAAAAATAGCCGAGTCACAGTTACTGGAGCTGTAGCTAGTAACTACAGCAACTCAATATGGTTTCAATTTGTGTCTTGGCAGCTCCGGTTGCAAGAAAATCGTATCTCGTGGCCGTCCAACCTATCCCCCCGTTTTTTTGCCGTCAGAGTCGATAGAAGACAGTGTTTCCTCCGCACCTTCTTGTTGAGCTCCAGGTTCTCAAGCACCTTGATGGCCTGGTAGTAGTCTCCCAGGAGCGAGTGCAGCCTCAGCAGCCCGATTAGGCTGAAGTAGCCCAGCATCTTGTACAGCGGGTGGCGCCCAAACTCCCCGGCAACGTTGTCGGGGTCGCCTGCGCAAGTGGAATGATATGCTCCACGAGGGTCTCAAAAACACAGAATGCTCAGGTCTCCGGCCTCTGCTGGACTGTTGACTGTTCCTCGAAGTTGAACTAACTATGGCATTCAAATATTAAAACACCGTCTACCATCACCACTTGACAACTTCTTACGGAATCAAATCCACATGTAGGACATACGGCTCCCAAATCAATAAAAAGTGTTTTCACAATGTTGTAATAAAAACCACAACAGTTTGTTTTGTGTTTTTTCTTTTTTCGTTTTTGTGCCTTTTCGGAACACATGTTAGTTGTCTTTTCGCTGTTGTCGTCTTGTTGTAGCTTGTTTTGCCATGAAGACAGGAGACTAGACCTTTCGAGCCAACAGCTGTTGTCTGCCTGCCGACATCTGTACTAGTGTCGATGCAAATAAGATGATTGATTGATTGAATAACATGACTGATTGATTGAACTCGAAAAAACAATGAGCTCCCAAGGAAACATTTGCCTTTAAAGTTTATTTGGTGACATAAGTGCCGCGATAGGACAGGTATGCCACAAGAAAATGCATGTCACAAGGATATACGTGTACAAGGAGAAACATGTCACAGGGACACGCATGTCATGAGGATACACATGCCACAAGGGCTCTCATGTTATAAAGACACTCGTGCCACCATGAAACATGTCAAAAGGACACACATGTCACAAGGACATGCATATCACAAGCACACGCACGTCACAAGAACACACACTTTACAAGATAACATTTGCCGTTGCAAAACTGAGATGAAGCGAAAAAGCAAAAGCTGCCGACTCACCTCCCTTGGTGTAGACCTCCAGCTGGAGATTGATGTTAGACTTGTCCACGAGCGAATGAAGCACATTAAGCACGCTGTGTACGTTCCAGATCTGGGGGGGGGGGGGAGGGGGAGAAGCAGGAAAGTGCATGATCAAGGGTAACTAGACTCCTCCACCAAAAAACAGACTGCGTGAGTGTGTGTAAGTAAGCACGTGTGAGTGAGCCAGTGTGAGTGAGCCAGTGTGAGCATCTGAGTAAGCACGTGTGATTGAGTAACTCTGAGTGCACATGAATGATCAAGAGTGTGTGTGTACAAATGAGTCAGTGTGAGTGTGAATGAGTTAGCATGTGTGTATAAATGTGTGTATGTGTGAGTGAGTTGAATTATCATGTGCTTGAGTGTGAGTGCATAGGGGTCAAGCCTGTAGTTCCGAAGTAGCTACATTTAGCAGATCTTCTGTTGGACTACCCCCAACCCCCAAAATGAAACGAAAAAAAGAAAAGAAAAAAACATACCTTGGGATTCTGGTTGAGGACTTCAATCTCCTCGGCCGTCTTCTTGTTCACGTTGCTGCGAAACTGACTGAAGGACTGGAACTGCACATGGTGCAGAGAGGAAACGAAAGCTCCGTTGAGACCTCGGTGCAAATTCTCCAAGAAAACTTTGGTTTAAAAACATCAAAACAGCTTCTTGAGCGATCACTGATATGTGCACGAGTCCCTTTTTCTCCAGCAATAAACACGTTGCAAGGACGATACGCGGCCAGCAGCAAATGACGAAGGCATGTTCACTCCATGAGAGTATAATTTTAGGGAACCCCCGGCGCCACTGTCGTCTTCGTTGCAATATTCACACCGTGTAAGAAACGTTTTCCTCTGTTTAGTTCCAATACAGTCAAAGAAGACGGCCACATCTAGCTAGAGAGTGACATTCAGTTTCAGTGCCTTGCACCGGTTCAGGTGAGGTGACAATGACAACTCTGACATACAATGGCTGCTTTGACGTTGCTTGAAATGTCTACTGCTGCTTTAAAGATAAGTAATTAGACCCAGTAACGTTGTACCCGTCCGTATGATCTGGACGTGTAGATCACGAGCACACTATGTTAGGACTTGAGAAGCGTGTACACCCAACCTCGCGTGATACCCCTAAAAAAAAAAAAAAAAGAGTCAAGCACGCATTTGAAGACCTTCCAGCAACCCAGAACAGCCTAGATTTGAGCCATTTTATGTGCATAGGTTTTCCAATTATGACGTCGCCAACCATCACATTTCAGTGACAAATCAGGCCCTAGCCGTCTCTTCTCCATCGTAGTCTCCTGTAGCTTCAATTTCTCAAGAAAAAGTATTAACAAAATATTCTTTTTTTTTTTTTACCGTGAAAAGGGTATCGCTACACGTCTAGGGTAACATTCAAAAGCATTTTCGTCTTTATGTAATTTCGGGGCATCTTCACAGCTTGCGCACAAATTTTTTTTTCTTATTGTCCTATCACGACCAAATTTAGCATGCATTTACTTTCGAATATATAAAATTTGACTACTGTACGGGTCCGGTTAGAATGCATAATTTTTTATATTTATAAAAAATTTATAAGAAAATTTTGTTAGCCCCTTGAAATTGGCATTTTTATGATTTTTAATTTTACAATAAAACAAGTCTCGCATACATTATTTTTGCTGCTCATTGCACTCAACGTCTTAGAAGGAGCAAATTAATTAATTTTAGTACACTCTTTTAAAGGGAAGTTGAAGAGGCTCTGTATTTGAGGAAACACATTTAAATCATCTTCATTTGACCTCCACAACCTCGAATATCGAAATTTATTTTTTATTTTGGTGCAAGAAGACTGAACTGCAGAAAATCATTTTCAAAGTAGCGCTGAAGGCCCTCCTTCCCGGCGCGTGACGTCACAAAAGTTTTCGGAATCTATGCTTTCGCGCATCTTCAGCGCCTATCAAAGCTATCCATGCGCACTCTTGCTATTCTTAAAAAGGGCAGAAAAAGACCTCACGACTGGTGCCAGTGCGGGCGAATATACCCGGCAAGCTTGCAATTGCATGCACAACCCTTGAGCGACGCGCTTGACGGCCAAAAGATGACATCACGACTTGTCGGGGTTTTTTAGCGTTTAGTTACATATTCGGGAAAAACAAACGTGATACTATTCAGATTCACGGGATAAAACTACGCTAGAGTCAACCTCTATCTCATTTTTGGAAAGAAGTGTTTCAGCTTCCCTTTAAGTCTGTTGCATGCCCTACGCGTGCAAAAGAACATGTGTATTGCACCCAGAGTAAAAAAAAGATGATTTACATGGAATCTAACACTGAATTTTTAAAGAGGACATAAAGCACCATGAACTGTGAAAATTTCACTCAGCTATCATAAATAAGAATACAAATGTTTTCCCCTGGCACCTGTCCGCTTAGAAGGTTTGCCGTCAAAAGTAACAGGAAATGAGACTTGCCTGATAAATGAACTCGTCAATGAGCTCCCAGAGCCACTGGTTGGGCAACTCCAGTGCAACGGGGCCATCAGTACCTGCACCCAAAAATTGGTCATGGAAAGTTGAGCGAAAACAAATTGCTCCTCAGAATGGAAGGATGCATGAGCAATGGAATCACTTTAATTAACTAATGCAACAAATATTGTGCCTGGTCTAATTACATTACAAATTCCTTTAAGTAGAAAAAGAGGCTATAAACATTATTCATGGAAGGCACTACTCTAAAGAAACATATTCAGGGAAGCCATCATAGAAGACACAACTACCCTAAAAGCTAAACTAAAAAAAAAGAAAGAAATTACATACGAGTTTTTATTGGTATTTATATGTTTCTTATAGAGACCAAACTTACATTTGTGTATGTCTCTTGTGAGCGGACACATAAAAAAATAAAAATAAACCATGCAATGAAGTGACCGGCTGCAGAGAAATTTCCCCGAGTGACGGATGCTTGCATAGGCCAGTCTCCTTGACAAACCCTCACATTGTAAGAGGCTGCCTCAAACACACCGGCAACTCCAGGATTTGACTGTCCGTAGGCTGCCTGCAATTACACCAACTTACCAACCTATCAAGCCCGGTTCCGACAGTTACGTCGTGACCGACTGTGCTATGACTGCCGCCGCCGACTTACGACACAAGAGTGAGTGTCTCAAGCAGCTTGAAGAAGAGAATGCAACTCACTCAGGATGTAGTTGAACAGGGCACAGTAGTTGTAGTAGGACTCGAACCGCTCGTCGATTTTCGGGACGCCCTACGGGGGAACAGTTGAAACCACACGTGGCAGCACCGATCAACCATCAGTCCAATGTTTTCAGGCTAGGCGGCGCAAGCTACCGCCCGCCACAAAAGTATGGCCGTCAACATCCGTTTATCCGTTTATCCGCTTACGTACGACCGCTAGACGACTCACCCGAGCGTAGATTTGGCGATAGTAGAGCTCCTTGTAGAGAATCATGAAGATGTGGTCTGAGAAAAAATAAAGAAAGAAAAAAGAGAGAAAACTCGCATTATGATTTGGGAAGGTTACCATCGTGGGTTTCGGTGACAAAGTGTGGTGGCTTTGTGAACGGTTCCAGACAACTACAAACGACCCGGGAGGTTTCCGTAGAAGCTACGAAATCTCTCCCGTCGAAACCACGAGCGCTTTTCCGTCGAAAAACAATTTCTGTTCCAGTCGCTCGAGGAATGAAAAGAACCTCACCGTCCAAGATGTGTGCCATCTCCTTCGAGTTGGGTGGTGGCAACGTCTGGAAGTACTTCTCCATCAGCTTGGCTAAGCTGCAGATATGTGCACAGGCAGTTCAGAGAGTTTCTTCCATTTCCGACATTCAACTGATCCCCGACACGTGATAGTTCTAGTCGGCAACAGGTCAGGAGTTCGGGGGAAGCTCCTCCAACCCCCTTCTATCTTACCAGAGCCAATGCCGAGAGGAATCGGCCCCCTCTCCGGTGTTCGTTCTGCTAAAGCTAGGGTGACCAGACGTCCCGTTTTGACCGGGACAGTCCCGTTTTTGAGGTCCGCCTCTGCCGTCCCGTCTTTTTGTCCCCATAAAAAATCATGTCCCGTTTTCGCAGGAGTGCATAGTTTCGAAATTGGCACAAAGAGAGTTCAAGCAAACCGAACCTATACCTACTAGTGACTAGTATATTTTACAAAAATAACCGTAGGTACTTTAAAATATTTACCCAGAGTAAAATTTAGAAAGCTGTTCTTGCCTGCAAACACTTTTTCTCGCGCGAAGAGTCGTGTGCAGAAATATTTTTTGAGTTACTGAATACAGCACGCATGTAGAATGTTAACGTTTTGAAATCGCAGTTATTGCATTATATTCTTTCTCCCAATCCCAATCTCCGAGAAGCCGCCCCCCCTCCCCTCCCCCTCTTTTACCCTGGGCTGGAATGTCCCGTTTTCCACCTTGAGGCGAGGAATGTGGTCACCCTAGCTAAAGCAGGAGGCAGCAGGAGCTTCCCCTGAACTCTTAACATGTCACTGACTATAGACCTACTGTACATTATACCTACAACTAACAAAGTAACGACACTAGAGTCTGTTGCAGGTTAAGCCAATCGTGACAAACGGACAGTTTCGTAAGAAGGGCTCATTCTGCTATTCTGAACATACAACGGGCTGGGTACCTTTGCCAGGTGACTCACTTGCCTGCTGCACCGGAGAACTCCCCAAAAAGAACACTTTTATAAACTGACTGATCGATCGAACTGCCCCAGAAAGCCGTTCCACGGCACAGCTGCAAGCAGGCTCCCTCTATGGAAGCGGGGACAGCGGCGGGGCACGGGGCCAGGCATGGACCTACTTGTTCTCGTAGATGTTCTGTATCTCAAAGACATTCCCTTCCTGGATTGCCTTCTTGAGGTACAGAAGGGTGCTCTGCATCGCCTCAGACAGCTTGTACTGGCCACCGTAGTCCACATCCTGCCGGTACCCTGAAACACAGACATTGCTTAGTCTACGTCGGAAAGGGACTCACTGATGAGACCATACTTTAAAGGGACCACGAAATGGGAGTTGGCGGTGAAGAAGCAGACTTTTCTCTCCACCTTACATATGCGTAATGTTTGTTCAGACACTTCACGTTCAAAGTTCATACTGAAAGGGTAGTCCAGCAATTTTTCGAGCTTTCCAAACAATCGGCAAATTAAAATCATGGCAAAGGCAACATTCAAATATGCCCGCGCGTTTCAGTGCCGTGACGTCGGTGCCAGGCAAACTGGCCAATTGAGCAGGCAGTAAAAAAAACAAATAGAATATGCGTAGCATTTGTTTTGTGCTGCTGAGCGGGGTGCTGAAACAAGGTTCCAAAGAGTTCATTTGACCCCTGCCTGCCGCTGGCTTCACTCGTTTATTGTTGCCGGTAGAGCGGTAGAGACTTTCAGTTTGAAAAACACGATGAGGACGAAACATGCAGATTCAATAACTTTAGGAACAATTATGAATTTGGCCTAATATTTAGGATAGTATTTCAGCGATGTTTGTTGGTGTGTTTAGCAGATTTTCAGGCAAATCGGGGACCACGAAGAAAACAATACATCAGCTGCGAGCACGGTGTACGAAAGGAGCGGCCACAGTACAACGAACGCTGCGATGCGATTGACAAGATAAAGTAATATTGGTGTGTACCCAAGTAGTACTCAATGCCCAACGTCGTAACTGAGAAAAAAAAAAAGTAGCGTCTTATTGTCATGGCACTTGTGCGCACGCGCTTTCTGCTCGACGCGTCTGCTCCGACCTCGACAGATGCTGGCTTGAATGCCGCGCCAGAAATCTCTCGGATTCAATGCATTCGTTAGAACTGTTCTCGCCGTTGGCAACGCACGCAAATAGTGTCAATGACGAAGCTGCATCAAAACGACGCAGATGCCAGGTTTTACATGACGCGGCACACCCGGAACACGACCTTAAGAATAAGCGTGTGAAACTGGGTCCGTGACAGCTTACCACCAGCCGGATATCGAAGAGCCATCTGGTGGCATCACCCGCAAGCAAGGAGAGGACTTTATTTGGCAGCTGCGACGCGTGGAGCGAGTCAGCGCTTGCTTGTGTCTTACATTTTCATTTTGTGCGTCTTTGTCCTTATGCGCTGCTTTTCTCCTTACGTTTACTGTGTGCCAATCTGCCCAGACTCAGACCCCTCCTTCAATTTATTCCGACAACTAGCGAACCAAAAAAAAATGCTTCATGGTCTCTGTGAAACGAGTCACAAAGTGCAATAACCAGCGGAAGTAAAATACATTCGGTGTTTGTTGTCATCGTCTTTATGGCAGACGAATCAAGGTCGTCAAAAGCAGTCACCACGGCGCTCGCGTCGCAAAAATCGTTCTCGAGCATGGATGGATGGATGAATCCGGCTGAGCCCTTTGGATCGGGCGGTAGCTTACGCCACCTAGCCATTTTGTTTTACCATTTAAGCTTAGAATATTTAAATGTGAAATCTATATTCACTCCGCGGTGCAAAGAAAGTGAGGCTATAAAACCCCCTTGCCATTAGCAGACTGATCAGACGCCTGCGCTTACACGTTGAAAAAGCTGCAAAATCATGCACAAAGCAGATAGGCGGGTAAATTCAGCCTCTTTTGCAACACCCGAAGTGACAGTAGTGATGACCACCTACAAGTGGCAACAGAAGGAAGTTGAAAATGTAACACGAAGCAGGAAACAAAGTATACTTCAAGCATAGGCATAGCTTTCCCTCGAATGCCCATTTTTACAGGCGAAATTTGACCATTATAAATAATCGCTATCTGAGCACGACAGTCGAGCCAGTAAAGAACACGGTTACACTTCAAAGATTCGTTCTAAATATGAGAAATAATGGGTAAGATAAAGGCAGAGCAAAGCGGTGGTCACATACCATGGACTTCTCCTTCGTGGATGGGATAGCCGTATGCGTCGAGGTACTGGAAAAAAAACAATAATCAAGTTTTGAAGTTTTTATAGTATCTAGACCTGGTAGCACGCTCGGAATACAGCAATTCGACGTTGAAGATCGTCTCGTGAAGCAGCGACATTTACCGACATGCGGGGAGGGTGACATACGGCCAAGCCGCCGGCATATTTTTCGGTATTCGTAACCACGCTCGGTGCTCACCTCGACATCGCCGTAGTCGTCCTGATCGCCGATCATTTTGGTGAGTGTTCGGTGACGTACGCAAACTCCGCGATTTAATGAACTGAAATGAAAAATTAACTTAAAAAAACGCTCGTAGACGACACACGGTCACAAGCCTAGCGCGGCGAGATCAGCGAAGGCTGTCCCTATTCGCACCCCGAGTGCGGATAGTGGTCGATTCTAATCCGCACTCCGAGTGCGGATAATTTTGGATTCTTATCCGCACTCCGAGTGCGGATTACGTTGGATTCTTATCCGCACTCCAAGTGCGTGCGGCACGGTGTAGTGCGGCGAAGAACTTGGCGTGTGGCTGGCGCGACTTGGACGCGGGAAACTTTGAACATAGTTACTTACGATGTTTGTGGTGTGACATTGGCATGTTGGCAGCACCAATTCCATAGACATGTTAATGGTTGTGCGGTGTTTAATTGGGAGGAGACCTGTGTCTCGGAATTAATTCAATTTCAAACAAATGCATAATCGTAAACATATAATTAAAACAGCGCGAACGAACACACCACTTAACCGTTTTTTCACAAGGACAAGGAGAAAGGGGACACAGACACAGCGCTGACTCACGATTTACTCTCTTTTTCGTCTTCTTAAAACACATCAACATAAGAAGACGCGACTCATCGCTGTGTTTGTGTCCCTTCTTCTACTTGTCCTTGTGTTCGTTTGCGCTGTTTTGATTATATGTTCACTGTGCACCACCGACTAGCTCACCTGCAAACATCACTACAAATGCATAATCGCATCTTCTTCTTTTTTTTTTTTTTTTTTTTTCGAGACTGATTAGCGTTAGGTGGTGCATTTGGGTAGAGATTGAACTGTACTCGCGCCTCGGGGGCATGAAAAAAAGCATGAAAGCAAGACGTAAGCAATCCTATTGTTCCTTCAGTATCTTTCTTTTTTTTCTTTTTGTTAAACAAAATATTATTATTTGCAAAAAAAAAAAAAAAAACGGAAGCTGGTTTAAGATTTGTATTATAACGCGCCTTCGCCATAGTCAGCACATTAACATTGTGTGGTGCAGCTGGTGCTTAGCTGATGGGGGCAGTAATGTGAGAACGGCGGGCGGCTAGCAAACAATTTTCAATACAGAATTGCCCCCGCTCGCCCCACCACACACACACACACACACACACACACACACACACACAGATGTTCCAAACTTCCGCTGCCGCCACGCCCAAAACCCGCAAGCTCAGTGTTTGGTACCCTCGGCATGTTTAACATCTTCGATCACACAACCATGCAAAAACATATTTTAACAGACATCACATCTATCGTCGTCTACTTACAAAGGTGCAAATCATTCTATTAAAAAAATTACAGTAACAAAGGGCCGGGGACTTATCAGGCATTCCCCCATCTAGTAGTATTGAAAGTGTTCGGAAGATTGAGCCGGAGGGGGGGGGGGGGGGGGGGGGGGGGGGGGGGCGTCCTTATTTTTAATAATATTGCTTACTGGAAAGGACTGATTTTCCTACACCCCTTCCCCCCCGCGTCCTTTTTTAATTATATTGTTTACTGGAAAGGACTGATTTTCCTACACCCCCCCCCCCCACCCTTTTTTTCCCTAAGCCACTGCCCCCACCACCTAAGCACAAGACAATACACGTCACAAATTGTACACTGTTCTAGTTTCTTTCTTTTTTTTTTTTTCTTTCGTCAATAAAAATATTTAACCCTACAAAAAAAATTTATCGCCAGATTTTTTTTTTTTTTTTTTTGGGGGGGGGGGGAGGTGGGGAGTGCTGATGTGTTTGGGATGTGAGGTGGGTAAAGGAAGAGTCCAACCTCCCCCGCACCTCCGGCCCCACGCACGCACGCACGCACGCACGCACGCACGCACATTGATAGCCTCTATCCGATCCCAGAGGCGTGAGTACCGTCTAGTCTGAAGCGCACCACCCAATGTTAATTTTTTTTTTTTTTTTTTTTTTATAAAACAAAAAAAAACAAAAAAAAAACATTTGCTTGAATTTATTCTAATTCTGAAACCAGAACCACCAATATTCCCATAGACTCGTCGAGGCTGCCAACACGCCAGTGAATCAACGAAATCACTTCTAAACCACTGTGTTCATAGCTTCCCGCGACAAAATCGCGCCACACGCGGAGTGCAGGTAAATAAGATCTAACGATCTAACGGCTTCGTGCCAACGTCTTCGTACCCCCGGTGCTACGCGGTGCTACGCGTGCGCTGCCCCCGGTACAGCGTCCGCACCTCCGCACGCAATCCGCACTCACGCACTCGGACTCGGAGGCTCGGAGTGTGGATAAGAATCCAACACAATCCGCACTCGGAGTGCGGATAAGAATCCGATCTCTATGAAGAATCCAAAATTATTCGCACTCGGAGTGCGGATAAGAATCCACCACTATCCGCACTCGGAGTGCGAATAGGGACAGCCATCAGCGAACGAGATGCCGAAAGAGAAACATGTCGTACCCAATGTAGCCGGACGTGAGCGCATTTTGGGCGCATGCTGTACGTAGCGCATAGAGATCGTACATAAGTACATAAAATAAAATTCACGTTGTGTAAAAAAAAAGTATTACTTTTTGGGGAACAAGTCATATGAGACTGCAAAATATATTAGAGAAAAATTAAATAAGTACACCTCGTTGGTATAATCAAATTTGATAATAAATGACGCAATCCAATCCAATCCAATCTTGTTTGGATTGCTTTGTGCCTGAAAAAGCGTCGAGCGTTTCCCCGTCGCGTGAAAGAAAACATCCTATTGTTAAGATAGAGAAAAAAAAAACATTAACAGTATGTGAGTCTTCGATAAACTCTAGGCGCCGTCGCGGACGTACCGCAAAGTGTCCTTTATTAACGTAATTTCACGTCGAGGTCGTGTTCAAATTTTTCCGGAAAAACAACTGCTAGGCCTAGGTTGTCTTCGCTCTCGTAGCTACAAGCAAGCCACTCTTCCGTCGTGATGTCTCTAGGGTCTTCGTAAACGGTGAGCTCTTCGTCTCTGCAACTCAGTAAAGCGTCGTGTTTCGTGAAAACGTGCTTCGTTTTCGCTTGGTGGTGCGTTGCGAAGGGGTCCCGTAACTTTGGGGACGAAGTTGCCTCGCTAAGCCTACACGGATTTTTTCTCAATCCAAAACATTCCAGACATTTTTTTTTCTTTTTTACTCGGTTGAAAGGCCGTTCGAGTAACCCTGATTTGTCGCACGAACTGGCGTTTCGATGAAAAGATTACCGGGTACTGTAAAAACGCTTTCCTGTTGGAAAAAAACCTGTAGTGTTTGTGTATTGCTCTTGCACCTGGTTGAGTCACGCGCGAAGCAACATTTTGCGCAAACATAGCGTGGTCATCTTGTAAACCCTGAGATGGGGAACGATAAAAAAACGGACGAACACAACAAAATCTCAAACGCAGCTTACTTTTATTGATAGGAGCATGCCAATAAATAGACTATCACACAAAAGGAAAAGAGAAAGGGCAAAAAAAAGAATTCAAAAACAAGACAGGCAACGCGTTCACCCCAGACAGCCTGAGCCAATCCCCGGCTCCAACACTTTCCGAAAAGGAGCCGACCACCCAAACAACAACAAACCCAAGGTCAACACACATGGGGTAATCCATGTTACCCCTACCCATTCGTCTCAAAAAAAAAAAAAAAATTATATTTTGAATGGTTAACGAACATTTCTAAAAGGGCCGCGCTATCATATTACCGATAGTTTTCGGCGGTCAGGTACTCGAGCAAACGGCTTGGCGTTCGCTGAAAAAAGAAGAAATTTTTTAATGGTTAACAAACATTTCGAGAAGAGCTGCGCTATCATATTACCGATAGTTCTCGGCGGTCAGGTACTCGAGCGAAGGCTTGGCGAAGATGGCAGCTGCCGAGTCCGACATCCTGCACTAGTGTAGCTCTCGCATGCGTCGGCAAAGGCATCATTCGCTCGCGTTGGAAGATAAACAGAACCGAGTGAGGTCTGTGTGTTGGTGCGCATGTGGAGTTGACGTGTCTTCATGAAGTCGGGTGGGCAGGTTGCACGCACCAGTGGACTACTAAGGACTACCCGGCAAACTAAATTTATAAAAAAAGAGAATAACTCCTGCAAGGAGGAGTCGTGTAATTGCATTGCATTGGATGCTTGTTTAGATCCTGATGGGCGTCTTGCACCTCCACTGTAGACGAGAAATTTATCCAATGCTGTACCACTAGTAGTTTATCCAATGCTGTACACCTAGTAATTTTACAGAACTGTATGCTGGTATGATGCTTTTCCAGATGGAAACAAACAGGCGTGATGATTGAACCCAGGGTTTTTGGTTTTTGAGTGCAAACTTTTGCTCACGCGGCCACTGATTGCCCCCACAACGAGCTGTGAACACCAAGTTGTGTGGAATTTAAAGCGGCTGCCTAGACTCGATGACTTGATTGTTGCATCGTGCAACGTGAAACATTCTTTGCCTGGTCGGGCATGTGTTCAGATTTCGATGAATCGCAAAAGTGAAGCCGAGATAAACATGAAGCCGCAAAGCTCGATGCCGACTGACTGATGGTCACGTGACCAGAAAGGTAGGCAAGGAGCGAAAAAAAAAAAAAAAAATCCAGACTAGCATTAGTATTTTCATTCCTGGAACTGCTATCAAGTTTATATGTCGGGTGTTAACTGATCAAGAGCGCTGCGAACATAGACGCCGAGCTCGCTAAAGTTCCAGAGTGATACCGGAACGTTTCACGTATGACACAATCAGTTGCCCAGCAATTTGCTACAAATATTTCTTTCTGAATGGCAATTTGGAGGTGGACGACAGTAGTAAGCGTGCCAAACGTAAAAAAAAGACCAAGAGGCAGCTTGACTGTAGATGCATGACGTTCCCCGCGTACAGCGGTGCGTCCCGATCTCGATTTCAGACATGAGTTGCTGCATCCGACGTTGCGGCACGACCGTGCGCAGGCCATCTCCGAACGGGACGCTGTCGTATCATGAGATACCATCGGACCTAGAGCTGCGGGCGCGGTGGCTGGCGGTAATCAACAGGGAAGGATGGCAGCCGTCCTGCTACTCCAAGGTGTGCAGCCTGCACTTCGAGGCGTCGGACTTTGTTGAAGGGAAGCGGCGGAGGCTGAAGAAGGGAGTCGTTCCCAGCGTCTTTCTGGGCGACCAGCCGTCGCTCGTTGCGGTCCTCAAAGAAAAGATCAGGCGTAAGTGCGGCGGGTCGGACAGTACGAGTGCTTTGGCGAAGACGAGACGCCTTGATGCCGACAGTCTGGTGACGACCAATATTCCAGTGACGGCCAGCAGTCCGGTTATGACCAATAGTGCAGTAACGGCTAACAGTCCGGTTACGACCAACGGTCCGGTAACTACCGACGTTCCAATGACAATCAACAGTCACGAAACAACCAACGATCCAGAGATGACCAACAATTCGGCATTCATATTGGGCATCGAGCACGCAGAAGATAGTCCGGGCAGCTTGAGACCTCCAGGAATCTTCTTGGATCCGCCAGACGGGCAGGCGGTCGAAGTTCAGTTTGCCGACAAGTCGATGCAAGTTGACTTTCGAGGGGCTGAGGCACCAACTAATCTGAAAAGACGCAAGTGGGCCCGGCAGATCAAAAACCTGAAGGTCCAAGTGGAACGGCTGAGGAACACTGCGGAAAGCTACAAGAGGGACCTGCAGGAGGTAATGGAAAACATGGACGTGGCGACGTTCCTCACCATACGGGAGCAAGCGAAGGAGGGCAGGACGGCAGCTGCGTTTCTGATGGACCAGGTGACCAACTTCTACAAGAGGTGTCCGCGGTGGACAGACGACACTGTCCGCCACTGCGCCCGGCTGAGAGACGTGTCTGTGCTCGCGTACGAACATATCCGGTCCAAGGAGCTGCTGAAGCTACCCAGTAGGAACTCTCTCAAGAGGCAGATTGCCGAAGTTGATTCGGGCGGAGCTAGCATTGCGAATATTGATGAGGCTGACCCCGCACTTCAGCCTGAAGAACACTCAATCGAAGATGCATCTGATTGTTGATATCCTTGTGTGGGTTAGGTGGTCCAAAACTGGTTGTAGAAAAAGCTGAGCGGCTCTGCCTTTTACAACTTATTGTCAGGCGTTAAAGTTGGTAGAGACTGCTGCAGTGCCAGTCTTGATAGGCTGCGATTCGTCATCGTCCCGGTTTGGTGTGTGGTAGGTCAACGGCACTGCCTAGAAGTGTACTCTCAACGGTCGAGTGGCGATATTGGATTTTTCGGGAGTGAATGGGTGCTGATTGGACGGGGTGATAATCCCAATGTTCCGAAACTCGTTTGTTCGTCTGTCACAAACAAGCTATATATTATGCTAGTCTCTGGTCAGCGGCATTTTCACATGATACTCTCATAGAATAAAAATGTTGGCTATTTGTTTGTGTGCATGCCAAATAAATTTCTAGCTCTTTCGTGAAATGTCAAAATTTCAATATCCCCACGCTTAAATGACGGGGGTGATTCACTGTAGCAAGACTGTTCATTTCTCTTCCGACTAGACGTATAGATTTTGACACGCTGGTGAAGGAATGGACTCGTCACAACAAGGCGCTGCCGGTTGAATACTCGGCAATATTTAGTACTGCCTCTAAATTTAGCATAATTTCAAGCCTACATTTTTTTTAAATTCCCGGGTCGGCGTCGCTTTTGCTACTCCAGCCGTCCTATGGTTCGCATTGTTTGCAGGCATTACCTCGTTCTTGCTTGGTCACCTTGCCTGTTTAGCACAAACATTCACAGGTATGCTTTCCATGTCAGTACAAAGGACACGGGCATGCTTCTTTTTGTGCATTTATCAGTTCAATTCAGTCAAACTGCGAAAGTGAGATCGCTTTTGGACAATCTACAGTTCAATCTGAAGTCCTTGCATAAATTACGAATCCAGATTCGCAAGCCTGTTGATGGCATAGAGACGTGAACACGAGTAGGCGGTATCGTCGCAGGAGTGGAAGCTGCTTCCAGGTTCCATTAATCTAAGCAGATGACTGCTCACTGCAAGGCGACAGCCGGCTCCTCTGGCCCGCATATCTGGCTCGGTGATGCACAGGTTCCCATAGAGTTCTTTCGCGTGCTTCTCTTCTTGCTTTAAAGGGGCGATGCAACAATATCTTCTAAGAATTTGCAATTTTTCATTTTTACATGTTTATCTTGCCAAAATGGATGGGGAAACCACCTCGTTTGTTTGAACTATCGAGATTCCATTGCGTAATAGCAAAGCAAAGAACGGAAATATCTCGCGATTTGCAGCCGCGGTGTGGCAGCTATGGGAATTGGGGCGTGGTGATGCACACCTGGGTACGTTGGAACGAGGTGGCAAGATGTGCCCTTATCAGCTCATTCTAATGCTCTGTCTTTTTATAAATGTTGTCATTTCAGCATGAGTAAACGCATCAAATATTGCCACGCGCGTATCCGTGCAAGCGTGCTCGTGGCCAAATGGTTATCGTGCTTGGCTGCCAGGCAAAGGGGCGAGGTTTGGTGCCTGACCGCAAATGCACCTTTTATGTTTCTGTAAACATCGCGTTCTGGTAAATTCGAAAACCCTGTTGGTTGTTTGAGGTCCGAATGTTCCACGCACCAAACCTTCTACGCCGATTGTTCCGGAAGCCCACGCGTTTACACAAGGGGCTCCGCGTGGCGAGCCGCGGTCAGTCTTGCCTCGGCGCTCAAATCCCGCCGCCATCGACGCCTGTGATGCTAGCCTCCTTTTATTTTGTTTTGGGCCCAAGTTCGTCCCATTAAACATTTATTTTCAATTGTCATTCATGACAATATTCAGTTTTAGTGCCCGAACTGACAATGAACCACTTCTCTCTCGAGCCTCGCCCCGTTGCTGCTTCGTCAGCTCAACTCCCTTACGGCAAGCGCTTCTTGCCCTCCCCTCTCTCTCTCCCCACACCCCTCCCTCTGCACATCGCTCGGACCAACCTTCAAGGTTGCCGTGTGAATTGCAAGTAGAGGCATGCAACCCAACCGGATTCTCCCGTGCACCCGTGAACACGTCGCTATGCACGTGACTCGGAAGTCTGTGTAAGAGTCGAGAGCAATTGGGAGGCGCCCAAAACTTCCATTGTTTGGCAACTTTTTTAAAGAAGGTCTAACGTGCGCAGGCCAAATTGGTTTCAGTTCTTTGGTTCGGACGTGAAACAGGTCCTACAATTCTCCGACCGAAGTCGAAACGCCATGGCATGGCCCCGTGAATGCCAGTCACTGCTCTCTCATCGCACGGTTTGAGCATGTCTGCAGGCGGTTTTTAGTTCAACCAATCTGACAAGACGGTCACGCAAGGCAGATGCATGCCTCGAACAGTGTGACCACGGCTTCACAGGTCACGGCTGCTCCGGTAGGTTCGGCAGTTTGTTGGGTTATTGCGAAATAGAGTGATGTAGGTGTGGTGGCCACCATTAACCAGCAGACGACGGGGACGTTGAGAGTTTCAGGGACCTCTCCGTGTGCAGTGGCGCCGTCGATCCGCCAGACCGCAACGCTGTTCTTTGTGTCGAATCGCCGGTAAACGGAAGAACCTTTGGAATTGTTCCCGGTCGGAGGGGACAGATGCGAACCTTGTCGAGAGACTCGAAAAACGCCGCTTGCAAAAATGTCCTGTTTCCGACGGGTGGCAAAGAGAGACCCGCACCTTGTTTGCTGCTCATTCGTTAGGTGCTGGTCTGGACCTTCCCTCTGTTCCTTGAAAAAGGATTACCTCACACCTCATCTTGAAAAAGATTACCTCTGCATTACCCTCTACCGATCGAAATAAAATTGTTGCAACAGTGTCACCGTCCGGTGCGGAGCGAGAGGGGAGGTGCACTCGCCGCAGACCGCAACGGGGGTTCGGACGCCTGCTATCCCACAGTACGTGGGCTCCAGGGGGGGGGGGACAAAGACAAGGCACGTGACAAACTGAGCAGTAAAAACATTTAATAAAAAGCTAGTAAGATGGTGACAAAAGTAAAAGGGTAATAAGACAGTCTCAATCAGGCGGAAGAATACAAGAGAAACTTAGTAGCTATGGGCAAGATATAGTATACATAACAGGAGGAATAAGAATGATACCGCACTATGGCGCAGTCCTGCACGACGAGGCTCGCAGAGGCGTGGGAGCACCTGAAGTATGTCGCTTGCGATGGATTCCCTTTCGACGTGGCTGCGGCGCGCCAGAGGTGGTGGTCGTTGACTTTAGTCATTGTCGCGTCACGGACAGTCGAGGCACTGGGGCAGTCCGGCAGAGGAAGTCTGCACAGAGTAGGATCACAAAAGTAGCTGACGTTCAGTGTTCCGACGGGTCTTCCCCTTTACCGCGGTGCCCGAGGCTACGCTTGGAGCCAACAGGAAAAGCGGGTTGCGCTCTCGAACCTCCCAAGTCGACTGCCGCGCCGTTTCCCAGTTTCAACCGAATGGCGCTGTTTCCTAATAAAGTAAACAAAACACACCCGCTCCCCTACAATTGCAGCACGCGGCCATCCGTGGCTTACAACTATGCTCAGAATGAGAGTGACGTTGAGAGGCTCTGTCGTTTTTGTCCCTAGAACGGCCATTTTTCTTGAGTGAAGTGGGATGACGCATCGATTCCACTGCGTTCCATCTCTGCAAGTGTGTGCTCGATTTTCGAAATAGGCCACTTTTTTACTGGAGTGAGCAGTTATAAAGTGCCTTCTTTCATAACTTGTTGATGGCCTTTCCAGGCAAGAAAGCTGTGAAGACTAGGGAGCTGTGGTAAACGTCTGCAACAGCAGCAAAAAAAAAGAAACCTAGTAGTGTCATTTTACTTGGTTGCTGTATGCTGTTGCATTTGTATGCCTCACGGTGGTTTTATGAGCTACTAAGTTTAAACAGGCTGGCAAGCCGGTTAATTTACTTCACGGTGAGAAATGATAATGTTTAAAATGGTATGTGTAATGTCCGTTGTTTTTTTTTCAGTTTATTTTTAGTGTTGAGGTTTTGATTATGGAATTTGTTTCACATCACCAAACTTCTTGCAAGTATAGCCTCTTGGACAATATTTGACTTTAATAACTGAAAAACAATTATTGTAACTTGGTTTAATAGTTTAGATGTGTCTCTTAATGATTTGAACAAAATTCAAAGCAAATCGGTGACTAAAAATTTTGTCAAACAAAATTTTGAGGCTTTGGCGAAATTTTGGCGGCGAACGGGACAAGTTTAGTTGGTGTGCCTAGTGTCTGATGGCAGACATATCTTTTCTTTTTTTTTTCCGTAGGCCTGCGTCGTTCATCTGGGACCGTGCCCAATTGCCGACGAAGACCTTGGACCGCCGGAAGACGTGATGTGATTGGCTTCAGCGAGCTCTTTTTTTCCCTTCATTTTTTTCTCTAGCGAGGAAGGGCGCCACCTCTGCTTAGACGTAGGACCCACTGCTTTCCATTTTTTTCTTCTTCGTGTGCGCGAGGAAATACGAGCGCCATGTCTGTCCACTACAAGTTCAAGAGCAGCCTGGACTTTGACACGGTGACCTTCGATGGACTGCACATCTCGGTGTCGGACCTCAAGAAGTCCATCCTGCAGCAGAAGAAGATTGGCAAGGCAGCCGACTTTGACCTCCAGATCACCAATGCCCAGACAAAAGAAGGTGAGGCCGCCTGTTAAGTGGTGCTGAAAACCTCAATCTTTGTCCATTTTTAAAATGAAAGCTAGGACATGCAGGCAAAAGCGGTTTTTTGTTCTTTACTTCCGAAAGGTTGAGACACCAACTCCCAAATTTTTTAAGCAAAGCACTGAAATTGTTGCACAGCTCCTTTAAAATATTGCATCCCTGATTGGTTGCTGTCGCTTTAAACATCTCCGAGTTGTCTGAGTTGCTCGTCCGTTTCAAGCCAAACGCGACCCGAGCAATTCGTGTCGCACTAGGGAAAGCTAGGGAGCACCTCGCCAGCAGCACCGAAATAGCTGGGAAAGTTGCCCGTCTGAAAAGGGCCAAAGGATTTTGTAAACAGTAATGCGCACACCAGGGAGTGTGTGACTCACAGTCCTACGTCACTGGGCGGCTCAGATCTGCCAAGGTAGCGCTTTAGCTGTGAAACAGTTCACTCGAGTGCAAGGACGGTCGGGGAAATTTCGGAGCTCGGTGAACTTCCGAGGGCACTCTGGGGAACCGAGCTTGAGAACACGTTGCTATACTTGTTAGTGAGCGCGTTGGTAATGATGTAAGTTTAGAAAGAGTTATATACGTAAAGACGGGGATATAACTCTTTCTAAACTTGCACCATTGTTATAGTTTTGCCGAAAAATATAAATGACTTTTTTAAAATATCACTCTTTAAAAAGAAGCTGAAGAGGTCTTTGAAGTATAAGTTTTAATATGGGCAGTTTAAAAAATGATGTCCCAAGCTTTATTTTCGTTCAATCAATAAAAACGTCGCGACGCTTTGGACAGATCACAGGCACTTGTCACACGCCTGGCGGCAATCGCTGCACACATTTTTTAAATGAATACGGTTTATGTTCACTTTTACCCCAAGTTAAGTGCGATAACTGAATTCACGGGACAAGAAGCTATAGAAGTCCAATTCTAACTCGGGTTTCTTGCAAAAGTGCTTCAGCTTCCCTTTAAGGACGTAGAGTTGAAGCATACTTCGAGTGCTTTTTTTCATTGAGTCGCTCTTTGCCATTGCAGTGTACACAGCAGACGACGTCCTGATTCCGAAGAACACGTCGGTCATCATCTCGAGGGTCCCCGTCACTTCCACTGGCAGGAAGAATTGGTGAGTTCTTCGGTTTCCCCATGTTCCCCCAAAACTTGTTCCCGCCACCTTTTCCTCATCACATTGCCATGATCGAGGAGGACCTGAAAGCACTTGATGATGCTACCAGTGGTCTGTGATCCCCTTGTCCTCACCTCTCTTTTACTGGCCTCCTCCTGGATGCCCCTTTGACACCCTGAACTAAGGGTCATAAAAGATGTTTTCTCTCTCTCTCTCTCTCCACGAGATGCAGACTGTGCGCTAATTGGTCTACTCACGCAACAGCTCTGCCACTGCTGGCGTTTAACTTGGCTCCGAATCTGGCAGATGTCTGGCTGTGCGTCTGCATAGTATAGGCGATGCGCTGGCACGCGTCTGGTCTGATGGTTGTAGCCCACATTAGGGTGGGCAGTTCATAAGGTGCACCCTTTTGCTGCACTCTCAGTTTGCTACTACCACACTGGAACGAGGCAGCGCGCCGGCCCAATCTGGGTGGCATAACCTAAGAAAGCCATGGCAGAATTTCTCCGTAATAAAGATTGATGCAGCGAAGACATGGATATAACGAAGCAGGGCATGTTAGGGATGGCGGTAGAGGCTTTTGACTTTTTATTATAGTGAAAGTTTCAGAAAAGATTTACTGTGTTTGGGCCAACGCAATACCGATTATTGTGTTGTGCTCCCTAAATAGTGAACACTTTCTTTTAGAACGCAGCTCTTGGGCGCTTGTTTCCGTGTTTCGCGGCGTCGGCGTAATTGCGCGTTGCATTAGGGGGACGTCGCAGACCCATGCACTAATTAATTCCCTGCTAAATTTAGCGAAGAAACTGAATTGGTGTGTAGGTCTTTGACGTCGTAACACTGCGCATTCAGTTTCTTCGCTAAATTTAGTGGAGAATTGAAGTGATGTTGAGGTCACGTTACATCAATTTTCTTGCTAAATCTAGCGGAGAAACTGAATTTGTTTGTTGGTGACTTGACACGAAGTCGTGTGGCATAATTCTCCCCGGCAAACTTAGTGGGAAGACTGAGTTGAGGTCACATGGCGTCAATTTTCTGGCTATACACCAACTCAACTCTCCTACGTCACGCCGCGGTGGTGGCGCGCCGGACGCACTTCCGGTCTAGGGCGGTGGGCAGAAGTCGCCGTGCCAGACATGCATTCCTGTGTTCCTTTGGAAGAAACGAGACAAAAAACCTGCCTTTTTGTAAAAATACTGCGATGGGGGCTGTACCAAGAGAGTCTGGAAAAGTTTGAAGATCAGTTTTCATGTGTTTTTGTCCCCTCCGTTCGTCCGAGAACGTGGATAGCAGCCGTGACAAGGGCAAACCAGACGCTGTCGAACTACGATTGCGTGTGCGGGCAACACTTTGTGGTCGCCAGATGTATTTGCTTTGTTCCAACATGAACGAGAGAAAACCGCCAAGTTGTCTGAACCACCCGCGGGTTCAGTGCGTCTTCAAATTCACACGGCCGCCTGATCGTTCGAACTCTCGTCTGCTCTTTCAAACTCGTCTGCTTTTTGTCGTCTGCTCATTCAAACAAAAGCGTCCCGTAGAACGAACTTTGACCCGGTGATTGCAATAAGAAGTAATTGCAGGCCTCAAAAGACTTAAGTAGGCTCGGTGTAAACAGTAGATTCAAGATGTTGATCACTGGTACCGGTGGCCATCACCGACTTGTTACGCTTGGTCTGTTCCCGCTTCCGATTTTCAGTATCGACGTCGATCGTCGCCCTACCTTCTACACTTTTGCAGCACGAGCGACGTCGCTACCTAAAATAGCCAGAAGAATCTCATCATGGTTTTGGCGTCCATTCTGCGGCGTTCATGCGAATGAATCGCCGGACGTCAAATTATTTACGGAATGTTTAGCGGCGTAACGAGCCTTGATAATTTCGCTCAGGCGACTAAAGTGGCAAGACATTGCGATGAGGACGTAGAATCGATAATTCCAACGCGAAAAAGAGTATGCAGACTCACACAGACGCCGACAACGTGACATTCGAATGGTTTGTTGACGCGGGACGCGGTGCTTCTTGCCCGTACTCCATTTCGCATGCGTTCGAACTGTCGTCTGCTCTTTCAAACTTGGCTGCTTTTTGTCGTCAGCTCATTCAAACGACAGCGGCCCGTAAACCAAACGTTGACCCGGTAATTGCGATACGAACTAAGTGCATGCTTCAAAACACTTTTGAAGTTTGGTTGGGGTAAGTGCTAAGTGTAAACAGATACAAGAAGATGTTGATCATTATTGTTACGAGTGGCCATCACCGATTTGTAATGCCCGATTCTACTTGCGGTTTTCAGTATCGACGTCCACCATCTCAGATACGGTCCACGCTTTTGCAGTCCGAGCAACGTCGCGTCTGAAAACAGCTAGCAGAATGTCATCGTGGGAGTCAGGCTTTAGCGCCCATTCTGCGGCGTCCACGTGAAATGAATCGCCGCGCGTCACATTATTCACGCAAAGTTTTGCCTCAATAGTTTTGCTGAAGCCGCTCAAGTAGTCAGACGTTGTTAGGAGGACGTACAATCAACAATTCCAACGCGAAAAAGAGCACGGGGACTCCCACCGACGCCGACAACAACGCAATTCAATGGTTTGTTTATGGGCGACGGCGGGCGTCTTGCCCACCATCCACCGCGCATGCGCGGCGCCGGTGGCGTCCGCTAGGGGCGCTCCGGTTTGTTTGTAAACATGAGTTGGTGTATATTTAGCAGGGAAACTGGGAGGTGTGGAGGAGAGGAGGAAGAGGAGGGGAGGGTCTTCTGTACCCTCCCTTCCTCCTCCTGCGTACCCTCCCTCACAATATATCGCAAAATCAAAATACCTCAAGAGCTGCGCTTTTGATTTCGCAGTAAACGTCTAAATTTTTTCCCTTCTCTATTCTACCTCGTAACCCGCTGCTCTCGGTGCAGCAGACCAGATCCTTTAGTGGCACTTCCGTTCCTCTTTTCTGCTTGTGGCGTCGCTAACGTCCCTCCGTTTTTTTCCGTGCCCGCAGGGAACGCAACCGAGACGGCGACCACTCTCAGCAGGACGTATGTAGCCCCCTCTGAACCATCTCAGTTGTCCTCCTTCTCCTCTGTTTGTGTGCCTGTTTGCTCACTTGCCTTGCAAGTCGCCTCCGACGAGAGGGAATCGGCCTCGGGTCGGCCCTGCATCGGATGCCGGTCGGCTCTTGGGACGGCTCGAGCCGAAGCCGCATCTCTTTTTCTTTTTTTAACACTTGTTTGCTTGACGACGACAATGATGACGAGCATCTCTTTGCGGTCCTGTGCTTAGAATTTAGGGCAACCTCGTTTGCCGACGACCGCTAGCGTGGCCTCGGAGCTTGCGGTGGGAAGTGGTGGTTAACTGCCACTTGATACTAGCAATGTGTCACCTAAAGGGACGTTGAAACGATTTTGAAGCCTTTGCTCAGAAGTTGCGCGGAAATGCTCGCTTACACATGCGTCTCGGTGCTTGGGCGATGAAAAGTCAAAGCTGCATCGGCGCTACTGTCAGCGCTGCACCGCGCGGATGCGCAGGAAAAGGTGGAGCCACGCGCAGTGGAGTGCTGATACGACTTCAATATAGTGCAAAGTGTGCACCTGGTTAGCACTCTTGCACTTGGTTGCCACTGTTGCACTTAGTCGGCTCTGTGATGCATGTGTGAACAGGCTTTTAACCTCTGGTAGCATTTTTCTGTCATCCAGTCTGCTGAAACAAATGTTGATGTATATGCTGGGCTGTAAAAGGGCTTTCCTAAAATATATTCAAGTTAAAGCTGGAATTACTTGAGCTGAAGGTATTGTTTAGGTATAAACACTGTTAACATTTCTTTTTAAATGTAGCTAGTTTTCTCGAAATGTAATCCAAGTTACTCCTCGTGAGCGGTGGCACCCTGCTGACGATAGTACAGCTTATTTTACGATTAAAATAGTGAATCTGTATTTGTCACAGAGTTTGAGAGGTGACGTTTACTAGACTAAGTTACTAGTTCCAAAATTGAACGAAGGTGCAGTTGATTGCTGAAATTTCATTGAAACTTAAAAAGTGTTTAGGGGCTGAAATTGTAACTAATGTACTTCAGTACTTTTAGTTGCTTACTTTACAGCTCTGTATGTATGCTATTTCCAACGGCGGCATCGGTTCCTTCTAACACGGGTCTCAAAATGCCCTTGTCGCATTGCACTAGATGCAGCTAAAACAAAGCTATCTGGAGTGCAAGTTCATCTGCTGCTTTTGCAGGGGTTGTGGTGCCGTCAGAACGCCGAGCTCTGGTTGGCTTTGATTGAAGGGGGGTGGCTAGACCTCAAAGCAAGTTGCTTTGAAGTCTAGCCACCCCCCTTCAATAAGTTGCTTTGAGGTCTAGCCACAACCCTTCAATCAGGGTTTGGCATTCTGACGTCACCACAACCCCTGCAATAGGAGCAGAAGAGCTTGAACACCGCATACCTCAATGTCGTTTCATTGGTCCCTTTAAGTGACGCTCATTTGCGGTCGAGGCTTCGAGTATCTTACTCTCAGTTCGTCTTGAAGCAAGAAAAATTTCTGCTGAACCGGCGACTGCCTGAAGTGTTCACGTAACATGCTTTTGAGTCGGACTTGTCATGAGCATTGAGAGTGTTGTGGAAATCTGGCTACAGTCCAGCCGGTCTTTAGTGTACTTGGTTCTGAACTGTCACAACCTTTTTTTGCTTGACTTGGTTGAATGCGTTTCTTTCTTTGACCAGTTTAGTAACTTTAGTGGGTTGCATTTACTGGTTGTCATGTCCTGACCTCGGTGGAATATGGTATCGTGCGGCCGGTGTGTGATGTCTGCATTATGGGATCGAATTTGTTTCGTGACAGTGTGTTTCTTGCTGCAAATGGAAGAGGCCATATTGTACTGTATGTTGGTATTGTTGTGAACGTGTGGAAGATTTTACTCGGGTGTAAAGTGTTGTTTCACTATCTTTACGGCCCGCTACTCAAGAGAAGTTATTTCTTTCGTTGGGATCTGCGGTCTGTGGATACTGAGAATATTCGCCCGAGAATAATTTGCCTTAGTGTTTGAAGTTTTCGTGGTGATATCGAACAACCTGCTTTTTTATCCGGGTTTAATTTTTTCGTTTCCATCATTTTACTTGCATTCATTGTCGCCTCCTGCAGTGTCTGGCAGCATCACTAATATTGTTTCAAGGTGTAACTGTAGGAACAACTGTTGTATCAGCGAAGATGGCAGCTTGCAACAGTATTGTTTCAAAATTTAGCTGTAAGGACAACTGTTGTACCAGTGAAAGTTGCAGTGCGCAACAGCTTTGGTGGAGCTCAACAAAATTCATAATTACGGTGATTAAGAAAAATTAATTGAGGCAACACTTGTGCCTGATTGACTAGAAGTGGCCATGATGCATGTCTGAACATCCCAGTTGACGAATACTAATGGAAGTTAAAAAAAAAAAAGAATACTGGGGTAATAACTATTTTTCTACCGTAAAATCCCGAAAAAACGCCCACCCAAAATGAAGAGATAAATGGTGAAAAACATGGGGTGGGCTATCTTTACGGATGCCACAGCAAAACTGTATCAAAATTAATGATAAGCGCCGGGGCACCCGCTACAAACCAAGTGACGCGGGGACTGATACCGCAGATCGCGGACATGGCAAATTCGCGTTTCACAATGCGATAAACACGCGGGAGTTCGCTACAAACTCCTGTGTCACGGGAAAGGATACCGCAAGTGGCCGACGCAGCAGATTCGCGTTTCACGGTGCGGAGGAGTCGCGGGAACCCGCCGAGAACTCGCATCTTACGGGAAGTGATACCGCAGATCGCATACGCAGCAGATTCAAGTTTCATGATGCAATAAAAACGCGGGAACCCGCTACAATCTTGCCTGTCACGGAAACCGATATCGCGCGCGCAGATCGCGGACAAAAGCACGGGAATACGCTACGAACTCGCATGTCACTGAAACAAATAGCGCAGATCGCGGACGCAACAGAATCGCATTTCATGATGCAATATACACGCAGGAACAACTCGCGCGTGTTACTGCTTAGAATCGATATCGCGCGCGCAGATCGCGGACGAAAACACGGGAATCCGCTACGAACTCGGGAACGGATACCGCAAATCGTAAGCGCAGCAGATTCGCATTTCACGATGCAATATACACGCGGCAACAACTAGCGTGTTACGCGAGCCGATATCGCGCGCAGATCGCAGACAAAAACGCGGGAACCCGCTATGAACTCGCTTGTCGACACACCGGTACCGCCGATCGCGCCTTTGATGCGCGATTCCCGTCGGACATCGCTTGACGTCCACCGGAAATCGGAGGGTGGGCGATGTTTCGGAATTTTTATGTTACAGATGTTTAGCCAGGTAAACGGGATGGGCGATCTCTCGGGGGAGGGCGCCCTTACGGGATTTTACGGTAGTTTTTTATTTTTTATTTGTCTGGAAGGGTCAGGCATTTAATTATTCTTTGGATCCATCTATCTCGCTGACATTAATTAAAAACGCTGATTGTCCTTGTGGATGAGGTGGGTGCTTACTTCAAGGCAGAAATTTCACAAGTTGGCAAGTATGTAAGTAAATTAAATATAGGGTGTAAGGACATGGTTCATGAGAATTCTCTTTCCCACCGATGAGATCATGTTTGATGGCAATGTTCAGAATGTGCATAACACCAGCGCACTGTTTTTAGTTTGAAAGCTTTAGCGGTCTGAGATCCGTGTATTTAATTGCAGCTTGGCGGACATTGAAAGGAACCGTAATTCTAATGTTTGGTTTGGCTAGCCGATACTGCAAGTACAGGGTCGTTCCGAGAAAAAAAAATCTTTCGTACATTGAGGTTGTTTCAGTTTTTGTTTTTCTTCGCCATCTTGGTTACAGCTCTGGACACTTTCTCTTGCATGACTTGCAATCACATATTAATTGGTTTTTGGTTCTAGTAGGGCAGGTACTGTGGTAGCTTTGTCAGGTCCACAGGCAAACTGAAAGGTTATTTCTTGGAAAAATAGGTAACGATAACAATACGTGGAGAACGGGAACAAGTTCCAATAATAGAACATTGAAGTCACACCTCACCTGGAAAAAAAGAGGTTTCTGCTTTACCTTCCCTTTCCAGATCGACTGCTGCTTTCTGACAGATAGCAAACTTTCGTCAAGTCAAACTCTAAGAGGCCAGATTTTTGCTTATATTAACAGAAGTTCATCTAATTATGATGCAGCATGGAATGTGCAATTATGTTTTGAGCTGATGCTACTTGTGTCTTTACACCTGACTGGACGGATCCTTTTAAAAATTCAGTGCCATCTGGTGTCTCAAAAAGCAGTTTTACTTTTGACAGACTGATGGCAGTCATGAAACTGTTTCATCAGGCACCGTCACTTTTGTGGGCCAATGGCAGATGAGAACTGGTTCTTGGATCACCTCGCAATTCTCTCTCGACTTGTTTCAGTTTCGATGGCGTGAACATAAGAACTAACTAGTACAACGCAGTGACTCATGAGTGCCTCGATTAGGTTTCCACCATCAAAAGGGTTTTAGAGCCAGTCTTGTGCCAAAAAATTAACATGACCATACTTTGGGGAAAAAAAACAAAAAATGTGCTTACTTAGCAGTTGTATTTAATGTGTGCGTCGTGTAGTGCCAACTCCTCGAACGTACAGGCTCCGTATGTCCTCCGTTTGTTGTATCTTGAACTTCTTCCTTTGTCAGCCCCAAGAAGGCCGCCATTAGTGTGCCACAGTTGCCGTACACTGAGATGATGATAGTGGTCAAAGTTGTCAGACTGAATTTCGTAAAGGGTCTATTTTTACAATGTCAGTCAGTTTCTCTTTCACCGAGAGCATGTTGTGCCTGCCCCGTGAAAACACGTTGTTTTGCTGGCTGAGAGGCGAGATCTGATTTTGCCATCGTGTGGCTAGCGCTTAGTCTAAAGGAAATTGAGAGATCCGTGACTATGGTTAGGATGTTGACAGCCGACGATCGAAATTCATTCGGTGCGTGCAAGGAGCTGCCACCATTGTTTGGATTTCCGAAGTGTTCTTGGAACTCAAA